TTTCTTTCCTCGGTTTTCCTTCGGCTATGTCTCATACCCGAACCGGTCACGTGACACCACTACCCTTCACACTTTCACATCATCACCATGTCACAGCTTCACCTCTTCACATTTCACCAATCACATCTCCGATCAGATCCCCTACGCCCAGGGCTAGAACTATATGTCTTCCTATCACTTAATCTCCGTCTCTGACATCATTGCTTATATATCACGACGTCATCCTACGACATGCGCAGTATCGTACGATTCTTTTCTCATTGGCTGATTACTTACAGACTCAGATATCTCCGACTCAATGTTATGTATATAAGTAGGGTAGTTAGCGTAGTTTCTCTTTAGACTTAACCTCTTCGTTCCTACCCAAGTGTAGACTCAGACGTTCACTCTCAATATCATCTCCTGCTCTTATCCTTGACGAGTCCTAGTGGTTGTGTTAGGCCTTTACCACTTGGTGAACGCTGATCATAACACCAATGGTCCTTCCCCATATGATCTGGTCCTTCCCGCATAGGCTAGAAAGTACCCATGGTCTGTCCCCGTACGATCTGGTCTTTCCCACTAAGGATATAAAGTACCCATGGTCTTTCCCCGTATGATCTGGTCCTTCCCGCATAGGCTAGAAAGTACCAATGGTCTTTCCCGTACAATCTGGTCCTTCCCTATGATAGTAAAATTTATCAATGGTCCTTCCCGCATAGGCTAGAAAGTACCCATGGTCTTTCCCCGTACGATCTGGTCTTTCCTGCTAAGGATAGAAAGTACCCATGGTCCTTCCCCTTACGATGTGGTCTTTCCCCTTATGATCTGGTCCTTCCTGCTTAGGATAGAAAGTACCACATAGTCTTTCCCCATACCATCTGGTCCTTCCCGCATAGGCTAGAAAGTACCAATGGTCTTTCCCCGTACAATGTGGTCTTTCCCACTTAGGATAGAAAGTATCCATGGTCCTTCCCCCTATAATCTGGTCCTTCCCACTTAGGATAGAAAATACCCATGGTCTTTCCCCTCAAGATCTTGTCCTTCCCACCAATGCATACAGGTCTTTCACCCACAAGTGTATGTAAGCTCTACCTGTACATGTACTCACAATACTTCCATATTACTCAAGGGAAACTGTGATTCCAGCGTCTTGCGAGGGAGCTGGTCTTGACCCCCCTGGTACAGTGATTCCCATGTCTTCTCATCTCAGCTTACGTATTAGCACAGGTAAACCCATGGGTACCACCCATACTCATATACTCAGGGGAAACTGTGATTCCAGCGTCTTGTGAGATGGGAGATCCTGCTTTTTCACCTCCAGCATATTCTCATCTCAGCTTATGCATTAGCATGGGTAAACCCATGGGTACTGTGAGCTCTACCTGCACCTGTACCCCCTGTAATTTTCGAAAAATTATTGTGAAAATTTGGTCATAGTAGGACCCCTGACACCCCTATGCTGTGGGAAATCCCAATCTGTCTGTGGTCCAAAGCTATCTTGTGGTATTTCCCACACAATTTTTATAATGATCCTTGGACCATCCCCAGTAAATCACATTTTGGTCCCTATACATACAGGGAAATACCACAGAACATGGGCCGGACCATCCGAAAAGCACCTCTTAGGCCTTTAGTTCTGCAGACATAATACAACCTAAGAGGTACCTAAAATGGGGTGACCAAAGTGGAAACCAGGGAAATTTCGGCTGGTACAGAACCTTTCATTTCCCCTCCATCCTTCCCCTACAGTATCTTCTATTAATTCCTCAGTTGATTCAAACCTATATCCCTGTACATGGGGCACAGCAGCAACCATCTGCCTCCTCGTCTGGTCCCTTCCACCAGGTTTGCAAGCTGCTGTACGCGATGTTGCCGAAGCATATCGCACGATCCCACTCCACCCATCTCAATGGCTGGGACTCGTGGTCAGAACGGGAACCGACAGCTTTGCAATCGACTCAAGTTTTTGCTTCGGTTTCTCCCCATCTGCAGGCACCTACGGTGAAGTGGCAGATGCAGGTGCAGATATCTTTAGGTCCCAGGGAATGGGTCCCGTGTCCAAATGGGTCGATGACCACTTCTTCATATGCATTCGTCGCGAACATCTGGACAGTTATAATAGCCTCCGAAAATCTCACGCTGCCATCATCGCACAGAATGGAGGGCTCCTGGTGGATGGGGGTTGAAAATGGTATTGGGGATCCACCATGCCAAATGGCCGAGTCGAAGAGTACGACGAAGACCAAGCTTTCCCCATCCAAGATCTATCATCTACCTCACCACGTTCCCCCAAAGACGCCTTGTTCACCTACTGCTTTGACGACATCGACCGGCTATCCAAACTCCTTGGAATTCCATGGGAGCTGGCGAAAGACATTGTCTTCTCGTCATGTGCACCCTTCATCGGATTTCTCTGGGATCTGGCGACCTGCACTGTCTCGATCCCACAGAAGAAGAAGGAAAAATACCTGGCGGCTATCCGGGAATGGGAGACCCAACCCACCCACACCCTACAAGAAGTCCAGCAACTATACGGAAAGTTACTCCATGCCTCCTTGGTTCTCCCAGCAGGGCGAGCTTACCTCGTATCTTTCGAATCCATGTTTTCCATCTTCCGTGACCGTTCGCACATGCCACGTACCCCTCCCAAACACACAGCCGAAGACCTCCGATGGTGGAAAGCCAACCTCGCACAATCCGACGTCTCCCGCCCCATCCCCGGACCCATTGAAGTCATTGAACCCGCGGCTTACTCTGATGCTAGCTCAGGCACTGGCGTCGCAATATGGATCAAAGGCAGATGGTGGGCCTGGCATCTCCTCCCGGGCTGGAAAGCCGATGACCGGGACATCGGATGGGCGGAAGCAGTTGGAATGGAGCTCCTCATCCTCACACTCACTGCTCACTGCCCAGAAGGCAATTGCATCAAAATTTTCGGCGACAATCGAGGCGTCGTTGAAGGTTGGTGGAAGGGACGGAGCCACAACAAGGCTACCAACACAGTATTCAAGCGAATCCACGAGATCGCAGCATCTTCACGAGGCTCTTTCCTCACATGCTACATACCCAGCGCACACAACCCTGCAGATGGCCCCTCCAGAGGCATCTATCCGCCTCTATCCCAACTTCTCCCCCCAATCCCCATCCCTCATCCCCTTCAGAAGTTCATCGCCGACTTTGACAGTCCCGTGCTTCCTTCTGAACGTGGGTCTCACAGTGCAGTCATCAAAATGCCATCAAATGCCGATAACGAGCACCACCATTGCACCCACATCAATGACGAGCTCCGACGTCAGGGAGAAGAACTCTTCAAAACGACGCAAACTTAGTAAGTCCGAAATTTTGAGTTTCAGGCCTCCCTTCCTCAATCCGGCGCATCTAGCCACAATCTATCCTGCTAAACTCACGCCACAAGAATCTACACTGCGCCCTCATTGCACAGCAAAAGAGTGGCTTCGCCTCTGGCGCCCAGCAAATTCACGCTCAGCATCATCACCCCTCCCGCATGCTGACGCACAGCGCATACAAGACGTCATGATCCACGCATGGGCAAGCAGTACCCAAGAAGTCTACGGCAGCGGCATCCTCACATTTCACGTGTACTGCGACTCGAAATCCATCAATGAAGCATCATGAGCCCCCACATCTTCCGACCTCATTTCGGCCTTCATTTCCGACCTAGCAGGATCCTATTCAGGCAGCACCATAGGTAACTACGTCCACGGCATTCGTGCATGGCACATCCTACACGGAAAAGAGTGGCCTGATTCAGTGACCGACAACCAGATAATCACAATGCTGAAGGCCGCCAAGAACCTCACCCCTCAAACATCGAAACGGAAGAAGCGTCAACCTTACACGATAGATTTCATCACCCACCTTCTGCAAAAGCTGGATTCCAAGGACCCTCTTGACGCCGCAGTAGGCAGTTGCCTCACAACAGCCTTTTATTCCATCGCTAGGGCGAGGGAATTCACAGTTCCCAACCTATCATCCTTTGACCCAGCAATCCACGTGAAGCGCTCTGATATCCGCGCAGAAACGGATCAAAACAGCCTCGCAACCACCGTTTTCCATCTCCCGCGCACAAAGTCATCACAAATTGGCGGTGAAGATGTCTTCTGGGCCAAGCAACACGGCCCTACAGACCCAAGCACAGCACTGGCCAACCACTTTCACATCAATAACCCCCCACACGATAAAGCCCTCTTCACATACAAATTCGGAAACTCTTACCGCCCCCTGACAAAAACGAGATTCATATCTCGCCTCGCCGAAGCAGCCAAGGACGCCGGCTTAGAGCCGCTACAGGGCCACACCATCAGGATAGGTGCTACCCTGGAATACCTCCTCCGAAACATCCCATTCGACGTTGTGAAAACAATGGGTCGCTGGGCCAGCGACACTTTTCAGCTCTACCTTCACAACCACGCTCAGATACTCGCACCATACCTTCAAGCCACCCCAATCCTACAAGACGAATTTCTACGGTACACAATGCCGCGCCAACGTTGACACACCACGTGAGTACTCGTCCCTTCTCCTACTGTCCTGGGTATCCACGGTTCGCTCGATGTGTCGTCAGGACTCCTACCATTATGGGATTCGCAGCTCACCTTTTCTTGCACAGGATGCAGCTCGGGACCGGGAGGTGCTTCGCGCCTTCGCCCAAATTGCTCAGACCATCATCTCCGTCACTCGTAGTCAGAACCCCGCATTGTAATAGTTACATCTATACATCGTGCTTCATCAGTTCCTCGATTAGTCTGCACAACGAGCGACTCGCAAAGAGAGGAATATATCTCTCATAGACCTGCGCAGGGCCGCTTGACATTTGGCATAGCCTCGGATGCCTTCCAATGAAGCATCATCTAGGCCTACCCTTCGTGTGGCTTGCTCTTCCCACCACGCAGCATGCCATGCAAGAAAAGCACCGACGCGCCACATCTCTTCGAGCAGGAGTTCCACTTCTTCAACCCACCGGTTGGCACGGGCCCTCGATCTACACCATTCAACTCGCAAAGCTATCAAAACATTCAGCAGAAGTATCAACACACGGGTGGTCACTCACCTTCCGAGAGAACTGCCTCACCCTCCACCCCTGCAGTAGCTACACCTTGCGCTTTCCATATCCATGACAAGGTGCGGTTCCCGCTCGACTCTCCAAACGCACTGTCTCCCATCCCTCGGGTGTCCCCTTCCTCTAACTTTGGCAGCTCTGTCATCCACGCATTCCTGGCAAGGGAAGGTGCGAGAGCGCTTAATGCGTTCCAGGCTCTGCGATAGCGCTCAGCAGCCATGGATACATTAATTTCGACGTTCTTGATGATAACACCTGCACGTGTATTTGCCCGTTGACCGCGAATTTGAGCATCCTTGAACTTATATAGATGTGTTCGAAGTCGGAGGTACCGGCAGAGATCATCGAGGGCGTCAAAGGCCTGGGCACGCCATAAGTCCCACTCATATTCGGAGAGACTATCATTGCATGGAAGCAGCATCTCTCGCCTAATCTGTGACGGCAACCACAGCTTAATGTCATAGGGTTTCTCCTCCTGGGTAGAATCTATACTAGACTCGATGTCGGAGGTTCGAACACAAGCCACTGAGGGGAGGTACAGTAGCTGGATCTTACACCATTGAGCAATCTTGCGCTGCAATGTGTTGCTGCGTTCCTGGAACTTCGCAAGCTGCAGGTCGGTGGCATGATCGCCGAGGGCGTGATGGTCACGCTGAAGACAACATCTGTGTCATAGTCACTCAGCGTTGTGTAAACGGCAAAAACCAGAACTCCACTTACTGTTGATCCTCATAGTCTATGCCAGAGGAAATCAATATACTTGGGGAGATATCGGAGTGAAGGAAAACATTGACCCCGCATTCTAGATCCCTGGCTTCTTTTTGTGAGAGACTGAGGCGCACAGCAGCTTGTGACATCACTAACAGAAAAGAAAGATCTTAGTATCTTATAAGGGCAAAACATAGGGCTTACGTTTGCTCTTTATCTTGAAAGGATTAGGCTGCGATCTGTCTTCTTCCCATATTTCAACTGCCGACTTCCATGTTTTGACTTCGTTTGGTCGCTCCTGTGATAGTGTGTGATTGAAATCGTCGAAATCGCATACGTGGAGATCACGTTCTGGGATAGCTGACTTTATCTTGCGCAAAAGGCTGATACCTTGATGAAATATGAGATACATAGCGAAGTATGGGTTAGGTAAAGAAGAACTTACCGAAGTTTGTCACCTTCTTCCAATTGAAATCCCCAAAATGATCATCTAGGGTGTCCCTCCATGAGCCTGGCCCCATCTCGCGTGTGCTTGTTGCCACTGGATTGATGTTGGCCCAACCACGCTCGGGAGCTTCGCCGTCAGTTCGACCAACACCCTTCACCAGGTTATATGAGAATGTGATTTGGCAAGCAGCAATGTGAGCAGGAAGGTGAAACTTGGGGACGAGGAATATGACGGTCTTGTTGCTGTGGTTAAAATGAATTGCAGAGGGATATCTTGACATGTGGTCCCAGAGGTTCTTACTCCATTGACAAGTGATATCATATGATATGTTGAGAACCATGACGTCGCGAGTCTGTTGCAATGTCGAGAAGAGCAGATAGTCCATATTAATGTATCTAGGTGAGAGATCAATTTAAGTACTAGGGTTGAAAAGGGTCATGCACCTTTCACCCTTCTGAAGGTCGCCAACTGCACATGGTCGTTTGAGATTGTGACGAGCGCAGTCCACTGTACCTACACCTGTGGTCGCCAAACCTCGTGCATTTTTCGTGTCTGCAAGATTCACAGCACTATGACTTGCGCACGTGCTTTTCTGATCAAAAATGATATATATATAAGTATGCCCGACTCAGAGGGGGAGGGAGGAGAATCACCTCTTGAGGGAGTGTTCCTGCTTCATTCAGAAACGATTTAAATCCGCGTTCTTCAACAAAGTATGACCACCCCTGACTCAGACTGGGGTCGAGTTTGTCAGAGGAAACATTTTTCCTTGCCAAACGAAAGTTTGCGTCAATCGCCAGGAAAAGGGCATATTTCCAACTACATAGTAACCGTTTTCAGTATCCCGCAGAGAATCACTACTACGCAACATACCGAACTTCAGGCAGGGCCTTTTCCCAGCCATCCGGCATGTTCTTTCCTGGCTGGGGACATGCAGCACACAACACTGTGCAGGCGCCTGGTGTGGCAGCGCAAACACCAGCAGGGTCATGACCACAACCTGATCATTTAAGGAGAGTGATATTGCGCCACTGCTTCATCATTCTCAGCAATGCCTCATAACGATCCTGTAATGGAACAGTCAGAAATCAAAAAACAAGCTGCGTGACATCAAACACTTGCCTTGGGAGGACTTACTCCTGTGTTATCTGTGAGACGAGCCAATGTCTGCCAATATTCGAAGACAGATGCCTTGGACTTGAAGGAGAGAATGTGAAAGTGGTGTAGAAGATGGAAGGTAGCGGCACTCTTGGGATCAACAGTCATAGAAGGGTACAACCGTGTGCGCAACAACTGAACAACGGGAGATTGAGCAATTTCACATCCACAGAAGTCGAGTGCGATCTCATGCACACTGCTGATATTGAGCACTATGAAGTCATCATGAAATGCTGTGGATGGGCTGTAGCAACACTCCCCGCTGGGATGTCCAAGCTGGACTCGTAGTCCAAGGATTTTGAGTGTTGTATGGGCAAAATAACCATCATTCCAGCGCTTTGAAAAGAAAGTTGTGGTAAACGGGTTCCTAAGGCCAAAAATACAGTACATACCTCAATTCTGTGCAATGGATTTGCATGATGCTTCTCCACAGTGCATCGTTGACAGTACAACTCTGTGGAAAAGCAATCTTTGCACCGATACAGAGGAGGAAGTGGGCATTCTGCACAACCTTGACATGAATCTTGAGAGACATAATCACCACGGCCATCCAGTCGAAGCAGCTCAAGAAGGAAGGTATCTCACTCCAGCAACCACGAGGACATCGGGCGATCCTACACGAGGTTAGAATCAGTCACAAAAACTTGAACAACACAACTCGCACACAAAAAGAACTCACCCCTGCCATGCATTTACGTTTTTAGGTCCCTCATCCATCTCAGCGAGATAATCCATGTAAGCACCATCAACGACATCAAAGTTTATTGATTCATTGTGTCCGTTATCATTGAGTGGTGAGTCTGGAGTCTCTGGAGCCACTGCAGGAACACTCGGTGCAACTGTTGGACCTAAAAAATACTCTGTGTGCATGGAAACACGTCCAGGTCCTGTGATGGTATGGGAAGTGTGTTTGTGCAGCTCAGTGGTCGCCAGAGGTCTCTTGTGGTGCATCAGTGGCTTTTTGACAGTGCAGGCTGAGAGATTTTGACGCTGGGAGGCCTGGTGTGCTGCGTTCAGCACGTACCACCGGCACTTAAGCCCCTTGTCATGCTGCCGATGACTTGGACCCATGACTCAGATACAGACTCGAGGAAGTGCTTGAAGACTTACTATTTATTTATGCAGCCATATTACTTTGCAGGTAAGAGTTCAAGCGCAAACACTGTCACATGTCTGATCAATCTGCCGTACTAGTCTATATGCTACCTAGTAGTGATTTTTGCCATAGGAGGGATTCTCCACGAAGCGCATCAAAGTATGTCTCTACTCCACCTGCAATCAACATCACAGCCTCCTCCAATGAGCGGATATGTAGGTTCGGCTGTGTTAATAAACTGCTGCACACCACACCGTAGCTGTGCACTAAAACATCCATCAGTAGTAATTTCCAGCTGCGCTGTGCAAGGCATTTGCTTGCTTGAGAAGTTCGCGTCCCTCTTGAATATTTCTCTCGCACCCAGGGCCTCACTAAATCCCATCCATCACGATCAATCTCGCACACAGTAGATAAACAGTACTGCTCAAGCCATTTGGATTGTGTGGAGCCTTCACGGTATCCAAGTTTGAACCAAAGATCATCGAGTTCTTTGAGCAGTCGCTGAGTAGTCTGGCACGGCACAGTTATAATCGAGCCATTTCAAGTATCCTGAATATGAAACGAACCTCACTAGCACCATTCCTGGCGCCTCCATCTCTCTCGTGATTTGATCTGCTCGTCACAACAGGTGTCTTGAGTAGTAAATTAGTGAATTGAGAAAGTTGATTGAAAAATATTGAAACATTACCGAAAGTAATGTTTTCTTTTTGATGCTAAACTGAGCGGCACGACGCTGCTCCTCATTCGGGTACTTTGGCGACATTAGAAGAACAGGTAAAATGTAGATGGTGGGTGTGGTGTGCAGTCTAGTGTGAAGTTGCCGAAGTCGACTGTAACTTAGTAAGTAAACACCTACTGTTTGCGCCACCACTTCGGGACAAGTTACTTTGGGACACATGTTTGACTCCTCAAAGTTCAAACTGTCTTCAATATAACAAGTGCTTGCTATAGATTTGACATGACTGGGCTGTCAAATATTGTTGGTAACCTCATAGCACTAAATATTTAACATGACTGGCTCAATGTCATTTGAAAACTGGCTATATTTTCAATGCGACTGGTTGAATCTTTCCCAACAGTCGCCATGAAAATTCTGAGGAGCACACTACAAACATTCATTCATGTGTATGTAGTTACATACACAACTAGGCAATATAAGTCATAAATACTTGCACAATGCGTGGTGACACTAGCTATGAGATTGCGTGTATTTCTGTGACTAATAGAATGTTAATATACCGGAGAACAAAGAATGCATCATTACCTCTTCAGGTACCCCCTCGAGATCAGAACAGTTACTAGCGGCAATTTCTTTGGCAGAAAGCTGAGTAGTCATGTGGATGGTACAGACAGCATCATGGATCTTCATGCCACACGCATAGCATTTGCGACGATGAGCACGTAAAACACATGCAGGACAGGCTCCAGGTTCTAGACCAGGTGAAGGGATGGGCTCAGGACTGTCATTCTCATGATTATCGAAGATGTCTGCCGACAAATTCAGTGGAGGTAAGAAGACGTTGGTACTAGAACTTACCATTCTGATCCTTTATCAACTGCAAAGTAGCAGTGAGCTCGCTAAGGGTAAAGGTAAGAGGTGTAAGATGATGATTGGTGTAAATTTTCGTTGGATCTGTCATGTCGAGACCGACTGGCTGGTCGCTTGTCTGACCCTGCATACTAATATAGGTGGTTGGAAAGAGGGAAAGGCAATTTTATTGGCTGGCGTCCCTATGAATTTTTTTCTGACTCCGATCCAGACAGTCTAATGTTGGTTGATGAAATTTTATAATCATTAACTCCTGTGAAGCGTCCGCAACTCAAATTATTCAAGACTCACTGCTGTAAGTTATGACACACGTCCCTAAATATCAAGAATCAGATAAACTCAATGCGCTTGACATGACAGCTAAACATGCCAGGTGCCACATGGACAACTGCCTGAACAGAGGGCCTTTCTGGAGCAGTACTACAGCCCTTTCTTAAAGGTGCACAACTCCAGGCTACTGTCAGCCAATTCTGGATCCCCTTATATGCCGAGTGGTTTAAAAAATGGCCAGAGATCAATGAAATGTTCAAAGGTCAGACCGTACCAGTCACATCGTCCGAGGACCAAAATGTCGAGTTAGGAAAGGCAGTAGACGCAAGGCATAGGGTCAACTCACCTCATATGAAATCACACGATCGAGCACTGATTTGGAAATTTTAGAAACTGTGAACATGGTTTAATAACCGGTCCCAGAAGAGCGGTAAAGCGGCTGTGAACTCGATGACCAAATCGATCACAAAGCTGATGGGAAGTAAAGCGAAGGGTACACGAGTGCACAGCGAGGTTGAGGTGTTCTCAAAAATGATGTACAAAGACAACGTACAAGAGATGGTGAAGAAGGAAATCGAGGCAGGTGCCCTGGTCACGAAAGAAGAAAAACTCCGAGGCTTGAAGGAGCTTACTAGGAAGGTGTATGATGCTTCTAGTGAGGAGGTTCGCGCTTTGTGTAAAGCAAAAGTACAAGAAGAACGAGACTCCAAGGCTCAAGTTATCCTTGGGGGACTTAAAGGGGGAGGTGGCGTGTGTCCTACGAATGAGCAGTATGCAAAGTCAGACCTTCCTCTCTGGGCTATTTACTATATTTCTGACAAATTTTGCATCAGGGCACTCGAAGAATGCACTGGTCCTATCTCACAATTTCTGCAGGCTATCCAGCACATGACAGGTTTTGAATGGACTGTCATTGGTGCGGGCCCTGATCCTCGCCTGGATGGTAAACTTAATGCACTCACGTATGTTTTTTTATTTATTTGTCAACCTTCAATTACTATGTGCCTCACGAGTTTTTTAGTTACCACACTGGCGTCAATCATGCAGGCAGGAATTGGCATGAATCTACACCCGACCTTGTTGAACTGTCACCTCAATCCTTACTTGGAGTTTGTCGGTACCATTTTCCTGTGAGCTATCATTGAATTTTCCGTATAATCATTACTTGATCTGTCAACTTGCAGCGGAACATGTTAGGAAGACACGCGTGCCTCAATTATGTGCCTCCAAGTCCTCCAAGGGATCCGACTCCAGACTCGAACACTGCTGTCATTCCACTCACAACAGACCTCAGTGTGTGCAGCTTCTACGAGTAGTGCTTCCCTTCCTGTCATGCCAGCATAGTGCGGCCTTGTTAGGTCAAGCATTGATGGGACCTGCACATGTTCAGCCAGGTGTAGATTCACTATCTGATGGTCTTTGGACCTTTGATAGATCAAATGCAGGGCCTTTTCTTGACTGGGGCTCAGCTTACGGGCCTCCCTATGGAAGCACTCCTCCCTGCACATCCTGACGCCATCTTATCTCATAATGCCTCAGAGATGTCATTTCCTTCTCTTTCATTGCCTTACAGTCCTGCCGCCTGTCAAGCTCGCAGGCTGGTACACCCATCTCAGTCATGGAATCACGAAGTCTGGAATCAGCAGAGATCATCTCCGCTCCGCTTCTCACCGCCTCAGTTTCCGCATTCGCCATAACTGTCATGAATGACAGGCTTCATGATTCCTCCTCCTCCAACTCATCTGACGTTTTTGGGCCAAGCTATGTTTTTCCAGACTCTCACTTTCCTGCACTCTGAGTCGAACCTGGTCATAACACGACATGGTCTAGTTCGGCTGCAACCCCTCACCTTCCCAGCATCCCATCCTGGTGTCATGGTACCAGTCTGATTCAGCCTCCACCAATCATGCTGAGGACAATGTCTCTACTGCCACTGTACCTGACTGCTAGTCATCACTCGGAAAAACGGGCTGCTGGCGTGGACTTGCCAGCAGTAGATCCTGGGTTGATTTTTGATGAGCATCCGGCGCAAGCACCCACACCCACACCGACCGCAGACGAGCGCACATCCAGTGCCAACATAATCAGTTCACCCAGCTTGCACTTACCAGCACCAACCCAAGCCGCCTGCTGCAACCCCTGCACTGACTATGGACGAGCCTCTGAAACGAGCTGACGCACCTCCACCGACTGTGGACGAACACATATCCAGCACCGCCAGTGCACCGAGAAAGACGGGGCGTGTTAGACAAGCTACCACGCGTCTTACACAGGCAAACAACATCGGAGAGGTCAAAGTGAAACGCAAGGCTGCTACAATTGTGGGGGACTCGGCATGCCCCTCTTCAAAGAGGTATGCCCTCCATCCTGCTCTTATTTCTTCAAAAAATCTTACTGTTCAAACAGACGAAAATCATAGTAGAATACTCATATTGACAAGTTTTGTGAGCATACCACGTGTCTTTAATGTTCATCGTATTTGACAGGCACTTGTATATATTGAGCCACTGAATACACTATGATCTTGTGCGCCCTATATTGAGAGGAATTGGAGAAAATCTATCGCACTGGAGGTCTTAGTATAAAAAAAATCGTGCCGGCGCCTCAGTGTGGGACAGTGGGACTTGGCGAAATTTCAACTACAATTTCCTTATTTGGTAATTTCGTTGGAACGCGTCACCTATGTCGATGTAACGAGAAAGTACAGCAATACGGATTGCAACAGCACAATGTAAGAAAAGAGCAGTGGTAAACTACAAAAAAAGGTGGAGAAAGATACTAAAAATGACTGAGACTGGATGCGAGCTCGTAAGTGAAGCAAACAGAATTGCAACAAGACACTGAAGGAGGGATCTGGGAGCGAGAGGAGCAAAAACCATGGTGCAGGTGTGCACGAGCAGACGGGGCCATGGTTGAACGTTGAACTGGGAACTGGGCAGGTGAGCGACAAATGGAGACATACCGAATATGTTGTTCTTTTTGGTCAGCAGGAACCAGAGGCACCAATAGAAGCACGTACTAATATTATCCCGAGGTTCCAGGCCACACGTCATGTCAGTAGCGGTTCTTTGATGGGACAATCAAATCCGGATCGTGGAGAAGTGGAGGGAGGGACGGGAGATATTTAAAGAGCCGTGATGGCAGCCCGGAAAGGGTAGGAAAGCACCAAATAGTATCGGCTGACCCGTTATCCATCATGGACAGCTCCAAAGCGAGTAGAATCATACCATATTAAAGTGTCTGGCATATTATCCATCGTGGGAGCCGTTTCTTTGATGGGAAAATCAGATCCGAATCGTGGAGAAGTGGAGGGAGGGACGGGAGATATTTAAAGAGCTGTGATGACAGCCCGGAAAGGGTAGGAGCACACCAAATAGTATTGGCCGACCCGTTATCCATCATGGACAGCTCCAAAACGAGTAGAATTATACCATATTAAGGTGTCTGGCATATTATCCATTGTGGGAGCCGTGATGGATAACCTATCAAACCGTCAGTAGTCCGTGACAAGGAAGCATAACCTGTTGTGTATAATAAGAGATGGTTATGGATAAAAATGACAGTATAGCCTGCCCAACAACTGTTGACTTCACGATACCCACGCTACCATTGACGAACCTGGAGACGGAACCAGATGATGATTGCCTTGGAAAACCGGGTACATATCATAGCCTTGGTTGTTTGTGTCTACTAATAGTAGAACCCAGGGCGTAGTCTACAAGGTTTGGTCAGAATTAATATCTGAATGCTGGTCGCCGATCACAGTGCTAACCTCCTACAGCTCGCGCTCGCGCTCATCCTATTTTCACTTGAAAACCACTGTCCTTGTCGGTGCTGTCTGACGTCGCTAGCGCATCCTTTCCTAGACGCGAGCATGACTGCGCTGTTTGGCCCAGGTGACGATGCCTGCATGACACTCGTACATACGTGGCTTGATGTGATGCATAATATGAAGTAAGTTCCAGAGGCTGCGCAGAGTATATGGTTCAAATTTGAAAGATGTATTAAAGGCGCAGCTGAAGAGCAACGGACTAGTACTGAAGGACCTTCCAGAGGTACGTTCAGTATCTGATGCTTGGATTATCTGTATCTGATATCTATATAAATCCATTTCTAATGTAGTGGGAATAAATCCTTGGATTTAATCCAGCGCGTTTTGCACAGCTTTCATCGGAGTCGCATTGCCCTTATCGTATTTTTCGCTATCACCCAGTCAGAAGCAGAGCGAGGAGGTGCGCATGAGGCTACTGAACTCGAGGTCTTGGAAGGAGGAAAATTGTGCATTGGATTGAGCGTCGAGGGGCGTATGCTGGAAGGCCTGACGCCATGCTAACAGAATGTACCATCTGGACATCTTGGACGAGGCGCTCCCAAGGGTTCATCGTAAGTATGACCATCGATGTTTTATGAACGAGCCTGTACTATTCGAAGAAAAAGTCGGGCTTCCTGATTGGCCATGGAACCTTGCACAGGCACATAGAAATCTTCTTTTCTCCCATGTGCCCTAATTTCTGTTGTCATCTAGGGGTTGCGTCGCATATATACCGCACAACCCTCGATGCTGAATCCACTGCACCGCCTTTATCATCGCATGTCCTTGGTTCAGGGATCGATCATCATTTGGCTTCTTGCAACATTACAAAAGGCGCAGTTGATGTAGGGGTGGTCCATCGATTTTCACAGCCTGATACATCCTGAGCCATAGTCTTTAATTGATATCAGGATAGCACAGGCGAGTGATCTATTAGAATGCAGCATTGTCGAGGTTAAGAGACCTTCGATGAACTATTATGCTTCACGGGCTGGGCAAGCGAGACGGAGGCACTGCTGGTAATCATTGAAATTCAGACTGCGGGCTTGTTCGATGATTAAATCACGCATAGGCCTGTGTTAGATCGATGACCTCTACAATGGAACACCCTGTGTACTTGACGTCATGCGACAATTATTAAGCACTGTAGTCAGACTCCTCCATGGTAACGTAAAAGTTCGACCTAGAACTGATCCGAACAATAATACTTCAGGACACCAAATAACTAGTTCACATAAGCACCACAACGAAACTGGGGACATGACACTATTCTCCCGCTCCATGCAGAGCAACCCTACGAGTGATGTAAGGCTGGGCATGAGTTCGGCGGGGACGAAGTAGATACGAGACGAGTGCAAAGGTAATTGAGACGAGTAGGAAAACGTTTGAGACGGAGACTTTCTGTGAGGCTTTTCAGTCGTGCTTGGAGCGGGGAATCAGCGCATGGGATTCTGCTCGATTTTTATGTAGGTATGAATGTACATGGGCGGTATATATACGTTTTCGAACACTTGACTAGGCCAGAATGAGCATAAGGAGCATATGGTGAAGGTAAAATGAAGCGGTCAAAGCGAGGGGATCGTGGAGTCTCAGCACAATGTAAGATCGTAAAAGGAAATGAAAATGGAAATGGAAAAGACTGTATCCGCGTGACTCGGATGCGAAGAGTAACGGAAGGACGTCGTCTTCGTTTTGAAGCGTGATCGGTGCGTAGAGGATATGCAATCCTTACAGTGACATCGAGCATTTCCCGTGCTACACACTACTGCTAGTTGACACATGTACACGCTCCTGGAAGGCAATTGAAGTCATGGCAGTTGCTGCGTCTGAGTCGTCCACAAGCTTAGCGTGATATTCTCGAACGTCAAGGATGAGACGTGGTCCCAGCACAAGCAACTGCACAACCATAAATATTTGAAGAAACCCAAGGTAAATCTGGACGTTTAGAGAATAGTATTGGTCCTATAAAAATGATGAACGGCGCTCGCATGCAGAGGTCGGTGACATATTGACATACCGCTGGCATCGTCGACAAATCATAACCGAGCTCGAAGCAAGAAACAGCAACAAAGCTAGCACGTTCTGAACGTCAGCGGTAAAAGAGAATGTCATTCATATTTTGAGCTCACCTCGCAAAGTAGCCCACATGAGATTTCATCAACACCGTGAAACAGTCTCCGAGAATCCCTCCTGTCGATTGTCGTCGCAGTTCTCGGAAGTATTTTACAGCAATCCAGACAGCGAGACACAGTGCGAAGACCTCCCATACAGTACTCAGTATCCAAGTCATGGACGACAGACGCATGGTATCTGACTCAAAGTTAATAGTGCACTGATAGGTGCCGGAGAGAATGAGCTCCTCTGATATTCAATGAGCCTCATGCATTGAAGTCTTTCAATCGAAGCTTACCCCCTGAAATAGTACGGTTCGTTATTATTGCGCTGATCACTATGATCGCGATATTGACAATCAGGAAGACGACACCGAGAAGTATCAGGACCTTTCTGGATCGCTGGTACATAGCATGTAACCGAGTGATCATGATGACTTGTCTCGGTCAAGTCAGTATCATTGAGGTATTACAGCTGGTTCGCTCACCGTCCAGTATTACAGTTATGGTGTTATTCGTCCAATTTCTTATGAGGTACAAGATAAAGCCTAACCATTACAAGCCCAGTTAGTGATCAGTCACAGCCTCGCCGGAGGATCACACTCGAAACGAACTCACATCTATGGTAGTGAATATATTGGACAAACAAGCTGGTCGAGAATCTCACTCACCCCTACAGGGGAGTGCAGTTGATTAGACAGGAATGGCAGGTATTAGTGCAGAATACTCACTACATCTGTGACTGGGATTGTTGTAACACTGGCTGTATGCCGCTAGTCAGAAAAAACAGATATGGTGAATATGAGACATACGCAGCACCTGGATCCTGATTGCGAGAGATGACTGATCAGCACAACACCAATTGCTTATTTCTCCGAACATACACAATAAATAACATTCCAAGATATCGCGCCTGGGATGCTTTTGAATCAACACGACTTGCCAATCATTTTTATAATGCAAGCTACATACACTGATATAGAGAAAAGTCACGAGGGACCAGCGTTGCCTCTGTCGCCAAATATTCGAAGTTAATGCTGTTGTTCTGACGTGGGACTATGCTCACCCAGATCAGTTCGACCTGTAAAACCTGTTTTAGCGAGATGGCTGCTCCCGTAATGGCATCAGCCTACCTCTTGCCCGAATGTCAATGCTGGAAATACTACCATAAGGATATCAGCGGTTCCTGGATGCTTATCTTGCTTACCCCAATCATACATCCCCCCAGCAAAGACTGCAACTGCGATATGCAGCCAAGGTGAAAACGACACATCACCATCATCATACGACAGGCTCCACGTACCTGCAAAATAGCTGAAAACCCTATCCGCATTGATGAACGGCCACCAACTGGGATCATTTGAGACTATGGGCATATTATCGGAGGATGGGTATGAGGAAGCAGCGAACTTGGTCGACGTATGGCGATGACATTTGTCCTAGATATATACCAAAATCCAGTGTTCTTATTGCCAAAGTGAGCATCGTAGGGGTGATAACTGTTCCTGCTATGATAGATCGGAGTGAGCATTTTCGTATGAGGAGCATTGCTGCTAGTGATGTTCCGGCTCGGCTTGGCTCGAAAGCCCCGGCTTTGGCCCAGCTTCAGACGGCCTGGGCTTTCAGAAATTAAAGGCCGGGCCAAAGCCCTCGAGAACGGCTTGGCCCTGGCCCGGCCCGGCCTTTAACTGGTCAATTCTGACATGTAGCGATGGCCGGGCGAAGCAGAAGACGAATGCAAAAATAGAGTCTGGCACTGGAAACGCAGTACATAGTACATAATACTACCCTAAAAGCCCCGGCCTGGGCCGCCGGCTTAGGCTTCGCAAAATCATGGGCCAGGCCAAAGCCCTATGCAAGCCGTGACTTTGGCTTGGCTAGGCCTGGCTCAATGGGGGCCGGCTTTGGCTGGCTCACGGCCCAAAGCCGGGCCATGCACATCACTAATTGCTGCATTGGCATAGAGGGGGCGAAATCACGAACAGTGCTAAGCAATTTCACGACCAACAGATGCATCAACTTTAGTTCAATCTAGGGCCTCTGCATTGACTGACTCCCCCTTTGATGCAATTATTGAAAAAGCCTGCCATCTCACACTTCGATGAACATGGACGGTGCCTCCGCTTCATTGGTCCGGCCCACGGAGCGTAATTCATCCGAGGTCTCTTGACAATGTCACATTCTGTCGGCGGGCCATCAGAAATCAGTGATCAGCAATGTCAGATATTAAGAACATCGTTTATAAACGCCACACACAGCTCCCGAAATAACTCTTCTCTCCCATCCGGGCTGCCAATACCACACACGCCTCACACCGCTTTTCTCCTGCCAAGGCCTTGATACAACGATCGATCGCCTCATGCACACCTTTTCGCTCTCTGCCTGGTCATGTCACAAAGACAAAGTTAGATTAGTTATATACGCAAGAGCAAAAATGTATCACACCTCTCATGCATTGGTATGAGCGATCCAACATGCCTGGTTAGATACTTGAGCAGTGTGTTTGATGATTGGGATGGGATCTTCTGGGAGTGAAGTCAAGGGAGAAACTAACCTAGAGAGCAAATGTCTGAGGGGTGCGCATGCACGATTAGTAATTTTCGCTGGCAACTTGAAAGACAGTGAGATGTTGGATTGATTATCGAATACCGACAAACCAAAATAGTAAACACATCTGATACAACAGCACTGCACTCGACATTGCATCGCGCAGTTGATGCATCGCTTGTCGCAGCCTCGTACATCCTGATGGATAATGATATCTGATGAAATTACAAGTTAACGCTCGGGACATGTCAGAAAAGGAACTTTGGCTCTGTACGGCTTCATGACCGAACAAGGAAAGTCGACTCTTTGTTCTTCGAAACGTGCAGATAAAACATTGATGGTGATATTCTTGATGAACGTCGCCTCCAAGGTCTCTTTAAATAACACGTTCGTGATATTCTCTTGATGGCAACGACCAATGCAATGTGAAAGTTGTGAAATTCCAGCATCGAATCCTAAAGTAGCAGCGCTGATCAGACCTCGAGGATCATCAGCATCCACGAAATTTAATAACGTCGTAGCGAGCACCGAAAAGCTAAGCCATTTCTAGTGCGGTATACATGAGCAAACGACCTGGGCTCAATATGAACAAGGAATGCAATCCGCTGGGCCGACAGCGCGGTCCAGTCTCTCACCAGCAAACATTTCTCCTCAGGCTCCCGCAAACCCTCATCCAAACCCGCAGCCTCCCATGCCCCTCAAGTTCCGCACGCAGAAACACATTCTTATTCGCCTGCAGTCGCTCATAAAATACAGAAGACGGCAGACCTTGCGGGTCGATCAACACAGTCCTTCAATAATAGTGTCTGTTCATCACACACCACTTCAGGAGTGCTGTTACCCCCGCTGAGACGTCCTCGTGTGGCCGCCCAGTGCGCTAGTCTTCGCCTTTAGAAGGCGCCAAATCAATATCCTTGTCTTCTTCGCCCTCCGAGATGGGCTCAACATCAGAATGCGCTGGCGAGATGACATCAGACTGCTGCCCGGGGGTGCCTTTGCGGCGCTCCACGGTGAGGTAACCGGTGTTTGGCTTCAGGATGTCAGCGTCCACTGGGGATGTGAGGTGAGCGGAGCACATCAGAGGCAGGTCTTTTGACTCACTTTGGGGCAGTCAGAATGGCACAAGATCTACACGATTTGGCACTAGGGTAACACAGACTGCACAGCTGTGGATGAATTTACTAACGACAGTCCGTTAGTGGCGTAGAAATGCTTTGCTGGTGAGAATCATACCCGAACTTGGGAACAGCTTCGACGAGGTGAGACTGAACGAGGTCCGTAACCCACTTGGGAGGCTCTTGTCCGAACCGGGTCTGAAGCTTGACTTCTAAAACACCATGCCTTCGAAGAGCGTGAATATAGCCTCCGATGTCAGCTGCTCAGGATGATGGTCTATGCAAATGTCGATCTGCCGCCAGCACGGGACCGGCTGTCCCATTGTCTTCGCGCACCATCGAAGTTCGGCATCAAGCGATATCCGCACACGATCATGTCCTAGGAATAGAACGCAGTCCTGTTGTAGAAGATCCTCTTAACTAGTATATTCATGAGTGAGGAAGGCAGACGTTGGGCGTGCTTACATACCTTGTTGGAGCTGCTTCGTAAGAATACGATACTGAATCTTGCTCGAACCTAGACCTTGGAGCTCTCCGTCCATGATGTATTCTCCACGTTGAAACGCATTCATGAGAGGTTCTTTAACAGTATACCCCGCCTTGACAGATTTTTCGCAGCTCTAGTCCTCTATGTGAGTCTTATGCCCGACGAAAATCTGAGGCAGGAGGTCGAACATGATCTTGGCGAATGGACTCGAGGACATTTACAATTTTGACATCTGTGTCACTGAATCACCTATAAATAGATTGATTTGGCACCCTGTCTTCTCCAGTCGCCCGAAGTCCAGTTCAAGATTTTCGTTGTCAAACTATATCGAAGTGATGACTGCGGTACTCGTCAACGTCGAGTCTTCAGCTTTAAATACAACGACAACATACCAGCATCCTTCTGTTTGAATTCTTTCTTATCATTGAACACTGAAACGGGAGATGAGTTGACAAAGCACTGGCAATGAATCATCACCGACCGAGAACAAGTAGATGTTGCAAAATGGCCAGTCTCAGCGGTACGATGTTATCTGGATTCTGGATCTACCTGGAATCGCCTTTTAAACAGAAATACACGAGAAGAAAAAGCTTTTGATAATTACACAATACTGTCGTCTGACGCACTCTGATTCCCGCCTGCGCTTGAATTGGGTGACCACTGCAGGTGTGGACGAGGTTGTAGAGCTTGGATAACTTGACGATGAAAGGGTCTCGATTGTATTTATACGGAAGCGTCTTTCCTCAAGGTTATGATAGCTTTAGATAGTCCTGAATGAACGTTCATTGATTTCAAAGGGCGGTCAGGAAGACATCCAAAGTCTAGAGAACGGGCATGGAGTGTTTCTAAGGAGAATGGTGAGTTGGCAAAAAGCAAGAGGTACCTCGAGGCTCGAGGAGGATTTTGAGAAACTGGTAATATTCAATTTCGAAGGCCATGAAAGATGTCGCAATCAGCTGATCTTGAAATTGATTTGCACACTTTCTCGCTATTTTTCAATAATTTTCAATGATATTGCGAGCCAATTGCAACGTGCCGTACCATTCACTGCAGAAACGACTTTTTAGCAAGACCCTAATCGGAGATAGAAAGCACGTATAATACGACCCTAAACACACGTAGCATGTAATCAGACCAAAATCCGACATGTGCTTTGTTGTCCTGGGGCACGCTGATGTGGCGGGGGAGGATTTGTAAGCGCGTGCCCCGAGGCACGATGGCTGTGGGAAAGACCCCAGAAAGGGGAGGCGCCGGCGGCAAGACGGCAAAACGCGTGCGTTCGCCAAATCGGGCATTTTTGGGTGGTCTTGCATTTGCATCAAGTTTGTCGCGTCCTACCCTAGCTGCGAAGTGAGTGGATCTGCGGGAAGTGTAACAGTACTTGAGCTCGTTCGCCATTTCTCACGTTCGTTCGAAACACTGAACATCCATTGCAGCTGTCAGATCCTGTGGGAAGTACTACTTGGGTACTCTCTAGTTTGTCTTGTCTTTGGTGAGCTCTTCGCCAGCTGTTCTGTTCGGACGCTAAACATCTGTCGCGTGATTGTCAGTTTAGCACCACCAGCCTGTCGCAGATCTACTCGCGGCTTCATACTTTGGTGCCCAGCACTAGCTCCCCATTTCTGGAGTTCTCTCCCTTCCCCCCTCGTTCGTTCGTCTCTAGTTGTCCCTGCATTCGTTCGTCCCGAGTCTCCCCGCGTTCATTCATCCCGAGTCTTGCGAATTGACGACACCCCTGGGCTCGTCTCTCGATGATGACGAGTGTTCCGCTTCCAGACGGCTTCACATGTGCACTGCTGAAGGAGGTGAAGGGCGCGGAGATCGCATTCTGGATCGGTCAGGCCAACGCTGCTGCAGGGAAGAGGGTTGTGACGAAGAACGGCCGTGTCGACGAGCAGCGGAAGAGGCTCACGGACTACTATGGCCTTAACCTTTCCGCTGAAGATTCATTTGTCGCTGCCGTCGCGCTGAAGACCCATGAAGACCATATCAAGCAACGCCAGTTCAGCTGGCTCCAGGAGCTTGGGGAAGAGTGGGCCAGCATGGCTGCTTGTGGAAAGGAGTTTTTCCTATGCGACAGATCTTCTGGTATGTTGTCTTCTGTGGTTCCTGATCTCCTCGACTGACGTTCAACCCTGCAACACAGAACCTTGCAATGCGAGCCTTCTGCAGGAGGCTGTCAAGCTGCTCATGAATCTCATGGTGCAGACCATGCCATCTGCTGCCCCATCTCCTCTCTCTCTCGACGGGCGGACACAGACAGAAAACAACGAAATGATCTCCGCGCTCATCGGTGCCGCCTGCGATGGAGATTCGACTGCGATTTCGCGTTTGTCGAGCTTGGGCAATGTTTCTGCACGACTGCCTGCCACTCAGATGATCCCACAGGTGAGTTATGAGCCCATGTTTCTCCAATTTCTCGTGCTTGTGCTGATCTGAATCTTTTTGTGCACAGTGCATGACTGCTCCCTCCGTGGAGCTGATGGTGGCCACTCTACCTCCAGCACCTCTTTCGAACGCAGCATCTCTGCAACCGACTCAACAATTGTGGGTGCTGCTGCCCACCATTCCATCAATGGCTCAGTCTGTGCCCCCTGTCACGATCTTTGCCCAACCTGGGTCATTGCCACTCGTACTTCGAGGGGATGGCTCAGCACTTCTTCCGTTCATTGCACCCAACCATACTGCGACCATGCAGACGTCTTCCAGCTTGTCGGTGCCACTTTTCACCGAGGCTCCTGTCGTCCTGCCATGCACTGTCAATGATGTGGCAGTGCTCAACAGCTGCCAGCTTGACATTGAGAGCATCCAGTGTGCCCAGGACCTCTGCGATGCCATTCAACAGGTCGAAGATGGAACGGTGAGCCGCGTGCATGAACGCTATGGCCCCCGAGATGGCAGAGCCACGGATGAGATGTGGGGGCATCTCAAGGGCAAGATCACGAAGCGTGAGCGGCTGTATGGCCTGCTCGCTGGTGCTTTCGAAGGTGACAGGGATCGCTTTTTTGAATACTTCACTGTCTCTGCTGCCTCTGGGAGCAAGAAGTGGTGAGGTGCTGGCGAGCCAACACTGGTAGCATTGCGGATGGTTGTCGAAGCCATCCCTCACTGTCAAAAGGACTTGCAGGATGAGAGAAGGAATACCAGATATGTTGACCTGGTGAGTGGCAAGTTCTCCAAGGAGTTGTGGAGGGCTGTCTGGGGGGATCGAAATGACTGGTATGTCTGGCGAGAGCTTGGGAAGGAGTGGTATGGGAACAAGAAGGCATGAATATGAACAATTAAATCATGTTGCTTCGTCTTGTTACTCTACTTAGGATGAATGTGAACAATTAAATCATGTTGCTTTGTCTCGCTACTTTACTGGGAGATTAGACAGAGAAGATTAGACTAGAGTTTGAAGAATATGCTGAACTCTCTTGTGAAATTAATAGGATCTCTCGATATTAGAACTTCGCCCGCTTTTTATCATTACGGTCATACTCAACCATGTGCTCGTGGTTGTCATTGGGTGAGTAGAAGTAACGGAACATGGTCAATGCCTCGACCTGTGACCAGCCACCCCAGGCAGCAACCATGCTCACGTCGAAGTTACAGTTGCGGATGCAGTGCTGACAGCCACCTCGTCGGAATGAGTGTGTACCATAGAGTGCCCAGGATGAGTATGCAAGTCCCTGAAGGTCACTGGTCAGGGCACAGCTAAGAATGCTGGTGGACTGCAAAACATCAGCTTGTCATGACATCAATAGGGGAGCTCAAAGTTGAACGCTCACATTTATGCTTATCGTTGCTTATGCTTACACCCCCCCATCGCACGCCAAAACTGATTATGTAATCCTAAGCAAATTTTGATCGCTGTGCAGCCACAGTGAGGCTGCTAGTACTTACCATGGCACGAGTTCCTTTACATGATCAGTATCTCCGTGCATATCTGTTGTCCATGGTCCTCCGCACTCTCGCCAATCCAGAATTGACACCAGAAGATGCTGCTTTGCTTCTTAATTGTGATATTGCTTGTGTCCTGATGATTCGACAAACACGCTATCTTCGGCTCGTGTGGTGTTGTTTCTCTGTTGTGTGTCTCCTGCTCCTGATGATGGTCATCGCGCCACATAGAAAACATTTCATCTCACCATGTATTTTCCCTTTCTTTGTGATCTTGTTGTAGTATTTTTTGCTATCCCATCAATACCATCCATTGACGTCTCACATCTTGTGCATCTCTGGTAGTCTCATATTCGACCTAGCATGAGCTAATAGTCGATTGACTGCATCCGATGAGTGCAACAAGTCAAAACTGAGGATCGTGGTTCAGTTTTTCTGACTCCAAGTCAAGGTTAACAGTCTTTTTTCATAGCAGTTCAACCACACCAACAGTTGGCCCTGCATAGTTTGATTCAGCACGATTCATCACTCATTGTATTCCACTCCAAGCTGTTCATTAATCATTACACGATAACCACAACAACATCCTCAAAACAATTGAAATACGGAGATCTCAAGGCTAATACATACAATAATTGTATAAGTAATCCACAATCATATCGTCTATCGTCAAATAATATAAATAAAGATATGAATGGGAATGCCATGGGGATTGAGAATCCTTGATGATGAATAAAGTTATCAAGCGTATAAAACAATGAGACGACGGGGATCATATTCAAGCAACTTGAAGGAGGCGATGAGGAGTCCGAGGTGATTTGATGTGGATATTGAGCACATGGCCCATTCTAATCATCAATGTTATGAGTCACGATACCTCGCCACCCTCCCTCCTATCCAGGATGGCGGGTGCGGTGTCCTTCTTTGGCATGGTGTTGATACCGGGAGATATATCTTAGCGCTGGCAAAGTACCACGGTAACAGTAAGCAGACTTCAAACGAACATATTTTGACTTGTTTACTCAACAGTACAAATCAGTGAGAATGGGGGGGTGTAAGCGTAAGCAACAATAATCATAAACATGAGTGTTCAACTTTGAGCTCCCCTAATTTAATGATCACAGTTGAGTGGCACCTACCACAGGCTGATCATGCATGATGTCACCAAACTTCCCAATGCGCAAGAAGAGGGGACCCCTCGGTGGCACATGAGAACCATAGAGGCATGCAATCTGGATAAGAGCTCGCACAGGGCAAAGTCTCGGATCGGCATCATTTGCCCATAGGCGCCAAGTGTGCAGGACACCAGTCTGTGCAGATTTATGGGTCTTGAGGCGAATCTCGACATATGCTCCTAAAGGTGTCAATATCAGACAACAAAATGGAGAGCCTGGTGGTTTAGCACCTACGCTCGCCTGGAACGATCTCAACACTCGAAAATTCAAGGGTGACCACCTCCTCGATTCAAAGCAGCATCAGCCACGCAAAGAGATAGGCAGTCTGCACAGTAATTGTCAGGCACTAGAACAGGTGATGTAACCACATGCACACACATAGTGAACAACTCCCCACCTTCGCTCCTCAGGCATACGAGTAGCATTCATGCAGTAGTCATTGAGGCGGTGCATGTCTTCACGTAGAAGGGCACGTGCAGACTGTGATACCTCACCAGACCTGGCCTTCATCTTCTCTAGCCCGATCATGAATTCTGACACAGCTTGAGCTCGAGTGGGGAGGCCATGGCTGCTCAATGATGTCTCATGACTGTGGACAAATGTGCAGCAACAACTTGCACTCACCACACACCAGTAGTTTTGTTGCAGCACCACTCGGTAACACTTTCATTGGGCCGACAGTGCCGGTACCAGTAACTGAGGGCTGCACGGGTTGAAATGGCAGTCAAGAACTAGTCGAGACCTTAGTATCGGATGCCTGTCGTGAAGGAAACCACCAAATAACATACCCTTTTGCCCTCATACCCCTTGTCTTTCTCACCACACTTGTGGGTAATGAAGGCACAGATGTCATAAGGTGTTTGGCGTGTGACAGCAGTCGGGTCCCATTCAGTGTTGTACTGCTTGTGGAACACAATATAAGCCTTGATGATTCTGTCAGACACGGTAAATGGTAAATTCCAACTGTGAAAGTAAAAGTGATCAGGAGCTTGACTTGCCTGGCATGCCTGTCTTGCGTCTGATCAGTGATGCTGCCTCATGCAATGCCAGCTGCATAATCTGCTAGCTCGGACTCATTGTCGTCCGGGAAATCTTCAAGGCAGCTCGTCATCAGACCATTGAGGTGCTCATCACACCATACAGCTTCTTCGAGGTCCAGTCGGACTCGCTCGTCGGCAATCTGTCATGGTAGATGCAAAGTAGATGATCAGCTTGTTGCATAGAAGATAGGGTTGGATTAGTGGTTCACCTCTTTCTCTAGTGGTGCGGTCTTGGCATTTCCGGGTGACATTGTCGTCAATCGAGGCTTCCATGCCATTGCAGTAGCCTGTCCCAAGAGAAGGTCAACTCAGTTCTCATCTCTTGTCATTGAAAGTGGCAGCGAGAGGCAACAACTTGCTAAGGTAGCTAATTGTTTACATAATAGCCAAAAAATAATTTAAAAATCACTGCTGGGGAAGTCCAGCAGCGAAGAAAATCATTTTGCAAGGAGAAGCAGCAGGAACATCGAAGAAGGAGACACATACCATGAAGATGAACTCCAGCTACCAGGCTATGTAAAAAAGACCACTGGTTTGCTCGGCTGCCGACTGCACAGGTCACCCTGGGTGTATTCTGGTGAGTACCGTTAGACCGAAGTTCAAAAGAGTCACATACCTCAAAAATGCGTGCGAGGTGGCTCAGACACGAAAGGGTGGGTTGCAGCAGCAAGGAGCAACATGTTCGGCAGGCAATAGGGCAGGTTTACGAACCACGAGACAGCGTGCACACTGGAGACTTCCCCGTGCCCATGCAATTATGTGTCCCGGCAGGTCCTGATAGCACGTGGTGTCTGTGGTGTGCAGGGAGGAAGGTGTGCAATAGCCATGCATGCTAGCAAGAGGAAGCACAGGGCAAGTAGGCGTGGAAGATGGTGCGTGGCGGCAGCCAACAATGATGTGTTGGTGCCTGTAGCCCGAGAGTGTGGGTGGTGGTGGAAGACGGGGAAACAGAGCTCTGCAGATGGAGCCGCTGTGATCCGTTGACAGATCGGATGGCTGCCAAGAGCTGTAGGAAGTGACAGTGCAGGTAAGTGACTGGGTGCACGGGTGAGAAGTGAAAAAAGAAAAAAGATACCATTCCTAATTGAGTACTGTGCCCCATGAATGCAACCGGCTCCGGTTTTTCATGGGGCACGCAGCAAAGGGAGAGCAAAGGGAACATACAGCAAAAAAAGACCATGCCCATGAACATTAATGGGAGGAGAAGTTCGTGGGGCACAGTGTTTTGGAACCTCGGCGTCTGAGGCTGCCCACAATGCCTATTGTTAGCTCAAAAATAAGTTGGCCATATCATAAGCTTACCAAACGGGCTTGCCTGAGCATTCTGACGTGCGAGAAAAGCCAGCACTCTGACGGCAATTGGGGATGAGGCCTCAAATGAGTGCACAGGCTCATTTTCAACAGTGCACACAAGCCGTGCCACTGACACGAGACCTGCAGAGACCTGCAGAGACAATCGGTGCATTTTTTTGGGGTGTCAGTGCAGAGGATCAACACACCTCGAAAGTTGCGACCACTAAAGACTGCCGTCAGTTGTGAAATCCTGCCTAAGCGATTTTCGGGGGACGAGCCTGCCGCCAACATGCCACAATTTCCTTTTTTGCTCTCAGCGTACCCCAGAGCGATCTAAATGTTGCTTGTTCAGTCTGAAACAACATGAGTAAACAAACACTTTTCCAACTTCGTCACATCAACAAAACAGCGTCTATCTTATACGGGTTCACCTGGTCATGTAGGAATCCACAAGGTTCACCATATGTCACAAGGAGACGTCAGACTTGTAGGAGAGCATGTCATCACTTACATACATCGGATTTCTGACAAGTTCCCATCAGACTGGTATACCATGCAGAGACTTTTGTCTCATTTATGGCCAGGTAACAGATGTAAGTACTGGGGAGCATGTTGGAGATTTTAGAGCTGTTCAGGCCTTGTACTGCCATGTAATAGTTCGAACCCATGTATATAGTCCCATCCATGCATTCACTTAGATCACAATATATCGCAATTCAGTTCGGGGAAATTGATTGTAATAATAATAAAACTAGTAAGAACATTGAGAGCAGACGACAGTGGGCAATGAAAGCAGATCTCGAAAGTGTCATGTCTAGTACAAGTATGTGAGCACAGAAAATGATGAAAAACGCATCTATAGGATTCAATGTTTGCCGCGCTTGCCTCGACGTCCGCGTCCGCGACCCCTGGAAGGTGCTGGCTGGCGTACAGGGCTGGGAGGTGCAGGAGATGTCGGAGGAGTGGTCAATAGTGAGCACTCCCTTTGAATATCTAGGAAGCAACCAACGTAAATGACAAGCACCAGACATAAACAATCCATTACCGTGGTCATGTCCAAGCCTGTGTCTGCGCTGGGGCTGCTGCTCCTCTTCATCTTCGTTGTCAAGGTTGCCGTTCCTGTTCCTGCCTTCGAGTTGTCCGGCAGTGCTAGCACCACCTATCGAGCTCGGTCCTTCATTTTCACTGTCAATATCGCCAGTGTTCGTCCTGTTTCCACCTTCGAGCATGCCACCCGCCGTTATGACCGCGTGTACAGCACTGGCGCTAGCACCACCTGTTGAACTGGGTCTAGAACCGCTCGTTGAAGCATTCCCACCCGTCGGACCACTGGCTGCTGACTCGTGGTCCCTAGTCGGCCCTCCCATGCTAGGTTCGACATTGTCATCCCCAAAAAAGTCGTCCATATCATCTTCGCTGTTGGATGCTGAGTTCAAGGCAACTCTCCAGTGTTTTGATAGGTTTTGAGTAAGACCTGGTGCCTCGCTAGAATATCTCATGAAATATACAGAACAAGTGAACTGTGCGACTTACTCTTTCCAAAACTACAGCAAGTCCTTGACCCACTGATCTTCTGCGTGGTCTCTGAGTAGTATGTTGACCGCGGTATAGTACATCTCCTCGAGGTTCATAGAACCAACCTCAGACATCCAGGATTCAGCATTACAGGCAACAAAGTACATCTAAAGTCTTGTTAGTCGTGTCGTGTCGTATATAAACAGACAATTTACCTGTATTGCCGCATACATGATATTTATTGGCCCTGGCTCCGTCAAGTTGTGCATCTTGCCTTTTGTCGGCTTCGAAGAGCGATGGGTCCGGTCTTTTGAGAGTGCCGATATTGGTCCAGTGAAAATATGGTGCCATCCCTGGAAGTTCGAACCCAATGTGAGATGCTACTATGGTGAGAGAAACACGCACCTGTACGATCACATGACCACACAGGAAGCCCGCCTTCTTGTTCTTCGGGTTGTAGAGGCCCATGTCGTAAAACATCGATGGCCATTGTTTTGCAGTAATTTTCTTCTGTCCTATCAGAGAAATGAGCCGTTTCAGCTGATCGCAAGTGCATGCCGAGTGCCTCTCACTTATCGATAGAAGCTCTAGATCCAGGGTTGATACTGCCACCATGAGGTATATTTAATTGCAAAGGTGAGTACACGCTGCTTTCGCCTCCACCCCTCCACAGCTACAACTCAAGCCCCACTCATCCTTTTCATTCTAGTACTACCGATTTCATGGTTGAGTGTTCGGTATGCAAGGTACCCTTTGAGACTTGGCGGGGCCTTGCAAATCATATGCGAGGCTCATGCGGCAAAAAACAGGCAGAATCTTCGGCAGCCATAATGGAGAAGCGACAGAAAGGTCATGAGATATTGCTGGCTGCAAAAATCCGACAGCAGGATGATGAAAACACTGCCCTTAGGGAGCAGGAGTTGATTTGTGAAAGCACAACAGAGGGCGAAGATGAGCCGTCCGATATACCAGTAAGCCGTCCACTAGTGCACAATCTATCCTATTCTAACCATTTATTTGCATAGGCTCCAAGATCACTGACTCCACCAGTGACCCGTCCATCTGGACTGCCCAATCGAGCATGCCGCATGCCCAAACATTTTCGTGATGACCTTCCCCCAGTTCCTGTCTTAGCACCAGCCCCAGCCCCACACAACGAACCGGTTGCTGCCGACAGTCCACCAGAGCCTCACATACCTTCAGGCGAAACTGAATACTTCACCACAGAACCTGATTCATACAGCATATTTCACTCATATCCATATTCCTTTCCGACCTTTGATCCTGACAACCTCACCTCTCTCTTGCATGTATTGGACTCAGTGCATTTCCCAAAGACAGCTGATCAGACGGGTGCATGTCCATGGTGGTCTGGGTTTGGCTCCTCCGTCACATCAGTAAAGGATGACTTCTTCGTACCGTTCTTGAATGCCACCGTTTTTCGGTTGATGTGCTGGTTTTATAGTGGCTCAAACATGAAGTCCCTAGCGGAGCTTGATCGCCTCATTAATGAGGTCATTCTTGCCGAGGACTTTGATAAGGCTCACCTTGCTGGGTTCTGAGCCACAAAGGAGGTCGACCGTCTTGACAACTACCAAGGAGACCCCGCAGATATCCGTTCATCATTCCTGGCTACCGATGGCTGGAGGGAGACATGCGTGAAAATATGTCTACCAGCAGATGGTGTTAAGCACTCATCTGAGGCAGTGGCACCAGAATTCGATGTACCAGGGCTATTTTACCGTCCTCCTCTTGAGGTCATTAAGACTGCCTTTCGTGAAGCGTCTGCAGAGCGCTTCCATTTGACCCCATTCAAAACATTCTTCCAACCGTCACCCGATGAGCCTGCAGAACGTGTATACTCTGAAATCTACTCTTCGCTGGCTATGCTCGAAGCACACAAGGCTATCAAAGCAAATCCCCCTGTTCCAGATTACAACCTCGAGACCGTCATTGCTGCAGTCATGCTCTGGTCAGACTCAACACACCTCGCTAGCTTCGGGAGTGCTTCCTTATGGCCAATATACCTATTCCTTGGTAATCAATCTAAATATGTTCGTGGAAAACCTTCATCCTTTGCAGCACACCACCTAGCATATATACCAAAAGTAAGTCTAACCATTGTTCGTCTGCTGCAATCTTTGCCATAATCTAATTCATGTATTTTTTCAAGCTCACTGATACCATTCATGACTACTATTGTCGGGTGTTTGGCAAGGCTGCGACAGTGGAGATATTGACTTACTGCCACCAGGAACTGATGCAAGCCATCTGGCTTCTTCTGATGGATGACGACTTCATGCATGCCTACAAATTTGGTGTCATTATTGAGTGCCTTGATGGGATAAGTCGACAAGTCTTTCCGTGCTTCTTTTCATACTCAGCCGACTACCCAGAGAAGTACATTGAAGCCAGTGACCTTCCAATTTGTACTGATGAGGAGATACTAGGACCCTTCTATCCTGCATCAAATTTCTCGCTCAGTGCCCCTGTCCTTGGTGTTTGATTCAAAAGGACAAGATCAGAGAGCTAGGTACAAAGGCTGACAGGCATTGGCATGAAAACCATCAATGCGAAGACAGTGGTGGCTTGCAAGGCAGGATTAGGATGGTCTGTGACTGGTTATATGTCAAGGGCATGAACATCATGAGCATCTTCGTGAAAAGGATACTGGGTCCAAATTCACTTACTGCCTCGACGGTACACATCCATCTTCACTCGAACATCTTGCTGGGTGCTGACTAGATCAACAGAATGCTTTTTCTACACGTCTTAGGTGTTTTGGCTTCAAATTTTATTCGCTCTTTGTGCCGGATTTGCTTCATGAGTTTGAACTCGGTGTCTGGAAGGCTGTCTTCACACACCTCCTTCGTATTCTGTATGCCTATGGTCATGATCACATAGGAAGATTGAACAAGAGGTAGGCAACATGTTTTACGTGTGCTGAGTTGCTTATTTCAGACTATCATCTAGGTATCAACAAGTTCCGACATTTGGACGAGGCACAATCCGGCGATTCAGTTCCAATGCATCAGCAATGAAACAACTTGTTGCTAGAGATTTTGAGGACTTACTCCAGGTAAACTGGCTGATGCGGAGCCAACAGTGACTATCTAACTATTTGTTTAGTGTGCGATACCAGTTTTTGAGGGGCTACTTCCATCGCCATGGAATGAAATGCTAATTGACCTTCTCTTTGAGCTTGCCACGTGGCATGGACTCACAAAGCTTCGCATGCACACAGATATGACTCTTGGATTTCTCGACACCTCAACAACACGTCTTGGAAAATATCTCCGACAATTTATGTCAGAAACTGCGAAAGAGTTCACAACCCGTGACCTTCCTAGTGAGGAAGCTGCCCGTGGGCGTCACAAGGCCCGAGCAGCTGCAAAAGGTGGTAACACAATGTCCTCGAGAGCTAGTATGTCCAGCGGAGCAAAAACCCGATATTTTAACTTTCAGACCTACAAACTCCATGCGCTTGGTGACTATGTCTCCACAATTAGGCGCTTTGGTACTACTGATAACAATTCTACTCAACTCGTATGTACACACTCTAAATGTCAACAGTTCCTAATACATTTTACCAGGGCGAGCTTGAACACTGTCGTGTGAAACGTTTCTATCCACGGGTCAGTAAGGCAAAGTTCACATCCAGAATCGCAAAACAACAGCGCTGAGAGAGAATTTTGTTTCGACTGGCAGAACGTGAGCTGCCTGCAAAGTCGAAGAAAGGCAAGGCCAAGGCCACTGGCATGGTCCAACATCACACTATGGCTCAATCAAAGGACCTTCCCAGTGTCACTTTCGAAGAGTCAGAGCCATTAGCGTTCTCTGATCCGAAAGCACACTATCACATCGCCACAAGCACAAGGTACTTTTTAAATGTACCTCAATGGCTTGGGAGGAATGCGAATGATCCTGCGCTAGAGGTATTCACTGATCTCACTTTTGTATACTACCTTTTGATGTCATTCATTTACAGGATTTTCTTCCTCGCCTCAAAGATCATCTGCTCGTTCGTATTCTTGGACATGAGTATGATGGTGATGAAGCAGAGTTTGCTTCAAAGGAACGAGCCCAGGTGCTCTTCATAAACGATCGCATTTTCCACCACAAGGTACTTCGGATAAACTACACTACATATGACCTTCACCGTGCTCAAGACTCACTTAATCCACGAACTCACACCGATGTAATGGTCCTCGTGCACGAGGGTGACCATCCATATTGGTATGCCCGCATCCTTGGGGTTTTTCATGTCAATGTTGTGTACACAGGTGGAGATGCACCTGGCTTTAACTCACCCCAGCAAATGGACTTTGTGTGGGTTAGATGGTTCAGTCATGACCCGAACAACTACCAATCAGGCTGGAAGGAAAAACGCCTCCACCGACTTGGGTTCATTCCTGGCAATGAACCAGGTGCATTTGGATTCCTGGATCCACGTAATATCGTTCGTGGTGTCCACTTGATCCCTGGATTTCAACATGACCGTACCGACACACTATTACCGCCATCAATTGCCCATCCCCTGCACAAAAATAACGAAGACTGGAAGTTTTACTATGTAAATATGTGAGTCTCTTGTTTTGTACATCTGCCTTGTACTTACCAGACATAGGTTTGTTGATAGAGACATGATGATGCGTTTCCGTGGCGGCGGGGTGGGCCATAAGTTGACTCGAGATGCAACACGAGTATTCCTCGATGACCGCGATCCTCTAGACGAGGTTGCTCCTGAGTTGGACGTTCTAGATGACCACAGTGAAGATACAGATTTTGTCAGCTCAGACGAAGAAGGTGATGACAACAGCCTTGATGGTGAAGAGCCTGGTGAGGACGAGGTGATGGACAGTGACGAAGGCATTGCCAATCGTGATGAAGATGTGGAATTGGAGATAGAGGAGTATGGCTATAGTGGAATTGACCAATCGGAAGAAGTTACAGATGACGAGGCTGACGAAGATGATGATAGCGGTGAGGCTGACGATGACCTGGGCCCTGAGGACGGAGAGGATGATGCCGGTGATGACCTCGAGGGGTTTGATGACCTTTGATTTTTTTTAGAGCGGCAGGATATGTTTTTCTTACCCAATCAGTGAATTTCAGTGTCTCTGCAGCTGATTTGTATGACCTACCACGGGGAGCCTCTAACTACTTTGTAAGATCAGAACCCAAGTTGCCTTGAACCATGCTCGATCGGGATACTCAGACACTACCACCAGCTAGTGTACATGCGAGATGGTTATATGGCTGGTCTACTACATGCACTCGTCATCTCAGGTAAATATAAGTCTTACAACATCCTTACATTTAAAGCCAAGACTGGTGAAACACTGCAAGGCTCGTACCAGGCTGGCGCTCCATTGCACGGCGGCCACAATATCATAACTGACCAATAACAGACTTAGTTGATCATGTAAGCTCTGCAAGGTCGTACCTGGCCATATATGTTTTGTGCTGTTTTGTTGATGCAGTACGTCTTTTCCGACCTCCGTTTGTTCTCTTCAAACGCGTGCCATTCCACCACAAATCAGCCTTGGAAATATCACCTTTCGACATCTGTATAGGTTGTACTTTAAGCAAGGTAGGTTTTCAAAATTTTCTCTAAGTCCCATGTTAGTTACTACTAGCGCTATGGCTACCTGCAGTGCAATCAAGCTTGAGCTGCCCGTGGATGTGACAACATTTAAATTCACTTTCGAGTGCAGAACAGCAGGACCCGTAGTAAGTCCTTTGTGCTAATAAACTTATGCTAACTAACTTTTTTTGTAGACTATTGAAATATCTATCCAACAGCCTCTCCAGATGCTACGCCCACAAGCAGGTACTGTCAAGGGCCCCGATGTCAGCAGCACACACACTGAAGTACCAGGAGTATTTACAAATTGGTTGGGCGCTGTTGAGGCGGGTCCCCCAGCAGTGGATGATAGTGTCACTGAACCCAAGTCGGAGCTGGGTGCTGAAGATTTAGTGAGTCCTCAGCCATCTTCATTTTGAATGTTGTTGAATAGCACATCTTTTAGAAACATACTGCTCAAGCGCTCGTTAGTACTGGGCCAATAGTCGACGATAGCGAAACAGAACCGGAGTCAGACCAGGAGACCAAAGATGAGCCTGCCACACCAGCAGAGTTTTATCACTGGTACAACGAGGTATGTATCAGATTCTTTTCTATGTACTCTCCACTATTTTCTGACTTTGGCCTCAGAAAAAGAAAGCAAAACCTTGATGAATACTAGTAGCATATGATAGACTTTGTTTGTAAAGTAGGAGCGCTTGCGATGCATTCACGTGATCCCACTATATCGCAACGCACGTGCAAGTTTCCGACTACGTTATCGCCAACATGCCCACCGTCTGCTGCCGCTGCAAAACCAACAACTGTCAAGGAGCTCTCATCCCAGCACACACCGCTCGTGCACATGAGCGTGCAGATCTACATAACCAAACTACTTCTGAACAGGGTAACTTCCAGCATATCGGTGAATGCATCATCCTGGGCCCTCATGAAGATGCTGGACCCATTCTGCGAGGGTTTGCAGTCCCGTTACGCGAACCTCCAACTCCGATATCTCCCAACTTCGAGTTTTACGACTTCCCTCCGGATTTGGATGACATGGTGCTGGACACCGGGTATGAGCCTGAGGACCTTGGCTCTGAGAGACCAGGGGATCCATTGCCCTATTTTGGCCGCAATATTCAGACTCCTGAGACCTTGCTTGCTGCTATTGACCACTTCGACAGATACAACGCAGCTACAGCTGCTGGCTCGCGTCCTTTGACTCCCCATGATGCCCACAATCTCCCGCGAGATCAAGAAGAGCACAATATCCAATACCAACTCCAACAGGCCATACAACATGCTGAAGAAAATCCAGATCTCGATCAGGACATTGATCCTGATACAAATCCTCTTGAAGATGTTGACGAGTACCAGGACATACTAGGCGAAGCTCAACCTGCTGAAGACGATACTGATCCTTTCTTCATTGTAGATGGACTTTGTGCAGAAGACACAACTGATCTCACGCACCTCCCAGGTCACCTTGTCTCGATTTATGCAGTCGTGTCATGGCTCCATTTGCAGTTCCACCTCCCAAAAGTTGCATGCAACGCGCTGCTGGCCATATTTGCATGTATTCTACTCACCCTTTCACCCAATATAGAACCTCCATTTGTCACCCTGCAATCCAGCAATCGCGTACTTGGAGTCGACAAACCTATATACACTCTCCCCGTTTGTCCACCATGTCGGGACGTGTTTCCACCTGCATGCTCCCCGCAATCTCATGATCAATGTACCTTGTGCAACGAGGACCTCTTCCTACCTGACAAGACTGCATGCGGCAACCAGCGCTCCCTCAAGTCACCACTAATCAAATACCCTTACCTCCCACTCTCTGATCAAATCAAGTCGCTACTCAAAGTTCCAGGCCTCGAATCTATCCTTGATGGCTGGTGTTCTAAGCCACGATCTCCGAATCAGTACATTGATATATTCGACGGCAGTGTATGCAAGACTAAACTGAAGGCACCGGACGGTAAACTTTTTTTTTCAAACCTTCCCCATGAAAAAGCTGGTCCGGATGGAGAACTTCATGTTGGAGTTAATCTCGGTGTCGATTGGTGAGCTTTCAACGTGTTCCTTGTTTTGGTTTGCGCTGAATCTCAATCAATAAGGTTCTCATACATACGAAGTAATATAGCGCCGTCACATTCGTCATGCCTGACTTCCTTTTCCATCTGCAACCTTCCACCCAAATACCGGTGAGTTCTCAGCAGGATGATTTGATTGTACAACACCATCTAACTATGTCTATAGGTATCGCACATCTAATTTGATGTGCACCAGCATTCTTCCTGGCCCCAAGGAGCAAAATCTGGATCAAATCCAGCAGTTTCTCCGACCCAATCGTTTCGGACCTCCTTCGATTATGGAAAGATGGCATTAAAGTACCTACTGAATCGTGTCCCCAAGGTATGTCCCCTCCACTCACACATTTTTTGGTCACATCTCATTCACCGACTCGTAGGACTGACTCGTACATGTTGTTTTGGTGGCCGTCGTCTGTGATAGGCCTGCCACACATAAGATTGGGGGCTTCGCTTCACATTCACATACTCACTTCTGTACCTGCATGCTGGATCGACATTGCCAACAAGGACAAACCCTCAGCCTTTACTGATGGAGGTAAGTAACTCTCTTGTATTGATTTATGTTAAATAGGTGACCTGCCCAGCATTCAAGGTTCGGACGAACGAAGAGCATCGCGAACTGGGCGAATGATATCGTAATCTCACTACCGCTAGTGCTCGCAAGAATTTCATCAAGGAATTTGTGACCAGATATACGCAACTGTCTAGACTTCCATACTTCAACATTGTCGAACAGGTAATAATTGACCCTATGCATAACTTGTTCCTCGGTATGTTTATTTTGTCACGCCATATACTATACTAACCAGTTTCAAAAAAAACTAGGCCTCGTCAAGACCCACTTCTACAACATATGGGTCCAAAGTAAAATACTTCGACCAATGCATGAACTCCGGACGCTGCACAAAATGCTTGCCGATGTATGTGTTTTCAGTATCTCTACCTATGGTCCTAACTTTAGCCTTAGTTCATTGTTCCTGGATCATGCGGTCGATTGCCCACAGATATTGGGATGCCATCAGGCGGTTCTTTGACCACAGACCAATGGCTCCTCCTGGCGACTGCTTATGGCCCAATAATTGTAAGTTTATATTATCTATGTGCCAGTGCTGTAGCTAATATACTTCTAGATACCTCAGTTATGGTCTACCTGTCTACCATCTGACAGTGGTGACCAAATTCTGCATCAGCGGGTCACTATGATACAGAAATTGGAGACCAAAAAGGAAGCAGACGCTACCCACATACTCGAAGACAGGACCGCACTTGCGGAGGCCAAAAAACGTGGTAAGGAAGCTTTTGAAGCCGAAAAGGCTCGCATAGCCAGAGACAAGGTAGCTGCAGCCAAGGCAAAAAGCCAGGAGAAGATACGACTTGCTGCCATCAAACAGACCGAGAAGGCCTGACTCGCTGCCGAGAAAAAGGCTAAGGCTGCTCAGAGAAAGGTACGAGTTCATTATTTATCTGATTTGTTGCTGATTATTTGAAGGGGAAACGGAAAGCCGTCGAGCAAAACGTCGAAGGTCTACCTGAAGGTCATCCCCGATCCCAGCCACCACCGACATCAAGTGCGACAGCTCGAGAGCCAGACGATGGTGATTTGGAGCTGGCTAACACCAAATTCTCCCTTCACCCCGACAATCCCGCTAACTTCTTGAAGTTGTGTGCCCGCCCTTCAAATATTAATTAAACATCAACTTTGTGATCAAGAACTTGACCACGCAGACCGCCTCCTTCGTGAATATTGTTCAGAGCTCATCCACGTAAGTCTCTCTACTTTTATCTCAAAGTCTCAACTAATGTCTCTTATTTTAAAGTTGTATGGATCCGCGGTGATTAAACCTAATCACCACTATGCTACTGCATGTTGTCGAATGCACTCGCAATTTTGGCCCACTTCACGAATTTTTGGACCTTCCTATTCGAATGGCTGAACAAAGTCCTCAAATCGTTCAAGACCAATAATCATGCACGAATGGCGAGTTGGAGACAAGCATTCTTCACCGAGTTTCAGAGGACATGTCACATAGGACGGATGGTAAGGGTTTATTTTGCTAACTATACTCCTAACCGATTTTTCACTAACCCTAACTAACTATACTCCTAGACTTTTTCTTTACTCAATCACAGGCAAGACATCACTTCCATGCACTGGTTGCAGAAATCATGCTGAAAGCCTTCAAATGAAGAACGAGGTACAGTCGCTGGCTTGACTGGCGCTATCCAAAGACCTCGACGATGTAAATGCCAATGGTGAGTCTCATTTTCCTCGTGTATCGTTCAGAACTTATGAACTGATATCAGCCAGGTCAATCCTATGCCTTGAGTCCCCAGCCATCAGAAGACATCAATGACGACAGATACTTATCGACTTCTCAGCTCAAACGCTCTGCTTCCGATACCCTCTGGCACCAGTTCACTGCCTCTGTGATCGCCCTGTTGTCCCTCACAGCTTCCCACTTGATTAGCACTGCTATTTTTTTCGACTACATGGTCATCAAGGGGAAATGTTACTATGCCTCTCGTACTGTCGGATCAAACCGTTCTTCCTTTCGTTCATGTCATTATCCCCGCTGACTATCCTATTCATCTATATGGCGAGGTCTTAGAAATTTTCCAGGTCGAATCAGTCTTGGCATAGACATGTGCAATCACTCTCGGTTTGTGCGCGTTCGTTGGTTCAAACCATGGCAGGGTGATGCAGGGAGTGGTATGGGATAAATTGTGAGCATACCATTTACATCTATTCATTACGAGTTAACTAACACTACACTATTTTCAGCGCCGAGTCCGTAAGCAGTGCGGCTGTGGACACTTGGAGAGTACCTAGAAGACGAAGTTCAGTTACCCCGGCTCATTGATCCTGACTGGATTAATGGTCAGTTAGCGATGACTACTTGTGTCCGTCGGTGTCGAAAAGACTGAAGGTATGGGCGACTATTAATCTTGCCAAGGTACGTCAAATGCTTTTTCAACAAGATAAATTGATTAGGGTGATGTTTATACACAGTAAAATGACTTATGCTACCAACAACGACTCGCTCAAACTGCCGTCTCATCAGCAGTCCATCTCTCCATCCATCTCTTTCTCATGCCACCTCTGAAGTTCTTGCAAGTATTCCTCGTCCTCCTTTATCAACACACCCTGGGCCATTTTCTCGTAAAAGCCCATCAGCCATTCAGTACCATCAAGGAATTTATCATCAGCGTGGTCACGAGCCCAGACTGCAGATACCATAGATTTGAAGGGTACATTTTTCTTGTGCGACTTTGGCTTGTTGTTGTTCATCTTTGCTGGCACTAGGTCAAAGACCTTCTTGCGGTGCTTCTGCGTGTTGTTCGTTCTGTGATGCTTGGTAGCCGGTGGTCGAGCGGTGTCATTTGCTGCGTCCATATCAGGCTCGTTGTGCTCCTCGTTCTTCTGCATATTGCGCAAAGACAACCAGCGCAGGAAGGCCACATACTGTATATTTAGGTGAGCGCGTGTTTTTATTAGCAGATATACCATGATGCCGACTTACATCAATAGAACACCATTTGAACCTTCAACATAAAACGCCAACTTCGCAAGCTTCGCTCTCTCCCACCTGGATAGCGTATCCGCTGAAAGGTCCTCCTTGGAATCATAGGAAAGGATGTCGGAGGCAAAGTCAGTATCTATCATCGCAACAGCCCCTTTGTTCCCTGATTGAGTCTCATAGGCCGATGCAGCTTGACGGCATGATTTTGTGACCTAAGATCATGTAAGTGACTGACATCTGATCATTAAATGAGACACTCACTGCTTGACAACGCGAATGCTGTCGCAGTCTATCTTTTCGTTCCAGAGCTTTGGCCACCTTATCATCGTTGACCTGGTCACTTGCTTGCTTGTGAATGTTTCGAAAGTACGTCTTCATGCACTCAGTGATGATAGCGTGGATGTAGTCTTCATCAGTGATCTCATGCTTGGCGTTAGGATTCTCGCGGCACACCTTAACAACAATGTGAGTCTCATCAGTATCCATCAAATTGAATATTTTGTACCTTCTCATTTTCCCATACCAGGTTAACTATCTCCTTGATGTACAGCGCGTTGACATTGTCATCAACGTTACCAAGCCAGTTCGGGTGCCATATTATCTTGGTTGATACCGTCTCGTGAGGTTCTCCATTGCCCAAAGGTTTGACAGCTCCCAACAGCTTTATGCACTCAGATTTGCTGAGGCATGGATCAATATTACAGAGTTCGAAAAAGTAAGGGTGGATTATTGGCTGTGCATGCATAGTAAGTCTATTGATTACCGTATAGCCTGATTGACAAGCATACTTTCAAGGCTGCATGTGAGTTTGATACATTTCTATCGCCGACTTTTTTCTTGTTTCTGTTGGTCTTCAAGAACTCCTCGATGGCTTCTTCGTATACCTGAATGTGTGCCTTCAGTGAGTCGTTCAATTGTCGAAGCTTGTTATTGGAAAACAGCAGGTTCTGAGTGACATCCTTCAGGTTTTGCACTTCAGATACAAGATGGGCTACAGTTGAATTCAAGGACAAGTAATCTATGGGGGTATCAAGATTGTTATGAGGTGTGCCGCTATGATGTCCCATTTGACGCTGATGCATTGAATAGAACGGCTGGTTGCTGTAGTTCTGGGGCTGATTATAGCCATCCGTCCCGCTGTGCTGCGTCACCGGACCCACAGACTGTCCTCGAGATGATGTCTGGCTTCCAGAGAATGGTGTCGGAGTCCGACCTAGGTGCGGTGTAGCCATCTGCGGAGTTGCTGGAGCTCAGTAGGGATACAGCGGTATCATCCCCATCTCGGGTGAACTTGAATGCGAAGGGCCTGGGTTTGGGTGGACATCCTGCTGGTGATGCTGAAAGGATCCAGGCGCAGGCTATATGTTCGCAAGTAAGTTTTTATTGAGTTGTGTTACTATTGGAATAATTACTGTTTGTGTAACCTGTCCGTCCTGTTGTCCCCCCATCCCAGCACTAAAAAATTCGTCACGCCGGGGCAAGCTGTGGTTCGAAAGGCCGAGGGAGGAACCCCCAGGATTGAACTGGTGACTGTAAGGCTCTGGCTCAGTTCCGTGGTGTGTCGCTGGACTAAATTGGTTTGGCAGGTCATTGGGAGCCCTACTAGGCTGTCGCTGTCCTTGACCAGGATACATGGCGTTACTAGTGGGCAGCATCGAGCTGTGGGGAGGAAGCAAGAGAAAATCTGGAGCTGCATGGAGGATCCCTAGGAAGCTAGTGATGGAAAAGTCTGGTTCAGTCTGGTTCACCAGAAAAATTGCTGAACGCTGAACTGGACGTCATGTTCGGTTCAGTGATTTTGCTGAACGTTGGACTGGACGTTCGGTTTGCGTTCGGTTTTGCGTTCAAACACTGAACGTTTCAATGTGTTTGAAAGTTGCGTGAACAAGGCTGACTACTAACATGAATTCTAATCTATGTGTCACTAAGATAAAGGTCAGCATTCTCAACACTAGCATCAAGCTCAACATGCACTGCTGCATCAGTTGCAGCTTGTACGTGCTTATTATGGTAGGCACTTTTTAACAATTGCAATGCCTCGAAGACCTGGGGTGTAAGCCGGTTGCATCGACTGTCGTCCGTCATGCCGCCACTTGAGAAGGCCCGTTCTGATGGTGTTGAAGAGCCTTGAATTGCAAGGTAATCTCTTGCCATGCGGGAAACGGTGGGGTACATAGTAGAATGGTGCTAGCAAATACATCAATAACTCAGAAGACTAGTAAATGCACAGTAAAATGCTTACCCCCCACCAACGGACAACATTGGCAACCTCCTCCAATGGGCTAGTCAAGTATAGGGTGAGCTCGTGACGTGGATCAATTTTCTGTTTGGATGATTGGCAAGCTAGAATTGTGGAGCGCATCCACGAATGCCCATATTGTGTAGCTCCAAGTCGTTCGCTGGACTCTGGAATGGGTGATGGTGACTGCTGAGGGGCAGCTGCAACAGGTGTGTGATACTGATCGAACTGTCGAGGAGTTAGCAAGAACTTTTGACCATCACTCGGCATCACTTACTGCAGCTTCGAGTTTTTTCTTGCCTTCGTCAAAGGCATCAGTGTCCCATTGTGATCGTGCATACTCGAGTTTATAGTTAGGATCAAGGGCTGTTCAACATAAGTGTTAGTTAGTGAAAGTATCATGTATGGAGACGGACCTAAGCAAATGAAGTAGACGTCTGTCTCGTCTGTTTTCTGGCTCCACTTGCCCAAATTCTTGAGACCAGCATGCAACGCATCAGCCACACTTGAGAACTTGTCATCGGCCGCCATGTTTTGCCAGCTTTGCTGCAAGAATTCCAACACCGGAATTACTCGCCAGACTGTTGGGTCTTTTGAGCTGAAAAAACTCTGGGTGGCATTGGCTGGCTCCTGTAAGAAGACGTGAAAGTTAGTGTAATACTAGAAGATAAATTAAACGACGCACCTGAAGGACTTCGTGGAGAAGTGAAAGCTGGAACCAGTCACTCTGACTTAACTTAAAGTCAGCATACTGCTTCTTTCGCAAATTTGGCACTTCGTCACTATCGTCGGCAAGACGTACAAAGCGGTTGACACCCTGTGATTAATGAGTACATGATTATTATATTTGACCAAATAAAAAATGACATGCACCTTCTGCAACAGAAGAAGGTGAGCAAGGCATGTGAAGAGCGAGGCCCACCGAGTTCGGACCCACTGTAAAAGTTCAAGGACAGGTACATTGACCTCTGCACATGATTGGCAGAAAAAAGCCCGAGCTTGAGGTGACTTTCGAATCTAGTCAATTAATATCAGCAGTGTTTACGTGGACTAGTACGAGTAGCTTTACGCACCTGTATGATGAGTGCGAGAGCCTTACCAAGTGCATTGGATGTGTCCGAATTGTTGACATCATCGTTGTCATCAACATTGTTGCCGTCGTTGTCATCAACATCATTGCTCGTAGGTCCAACGGCCCGTGAAAAATGGCCCGCCGCAACATTGATTGCATGCTCCATACACCTAACTCTACACTGATGATAGTCTTCAATCCCAGCTTCAGGGACAACTTCAGCAAATGTCTTGAGTGCTGAATCGTTGTTCATAGCATTGTCAGCCGTAAACCACTCAATCTATACATGATATACATTAATTAAGATTAAGTGAGGGTGTTGAAATGCAATACCTTCTTTCACAACTCAAAACGGTCCACCACTCGAACCAGGATGTTACCGATGTTGTCTCCTGAGTGATTGCCTTCGATAGACATGAAAGAAAGTTGGTCACACTTAAGTTCCCACTCATGTGGGGCATCCACAGGTGCATCAATATAGTGACCCGTGACTGACAGGTATGGATTGCCACTGTCTGAAGTCCAAGAATCAAACATGAAGGACACTCGCCCAGGAATTTCCTTGAGACGCTCGCGGATCTGAGACTCAGCTATCTTAGCATGACGAACAATCTCTTTGCGTACTTTATGACGGTGTGGGATATCTTTCTCGGAGAGACCTGGGTGAGTGTATGTGAGAAGTCGCCGAAAAGCACCCTTATCCACGAGTTGGAAGGCTTCATCTTCGGCAACGATCAGTTCCACGATGTAGTCCAGCAATCCAGCAGTAGTGAATGCTGGTGCACGATGCTCTTTTACAACTGCACTGTCCAAAGTCTTCTGATTAGAGCTAAAATCAGGATCTTCATTAGATACATAGCAAAATGCAATAGATCATGTACAGCATGTCATCCGAAGGTAGCGCACGCACATGTGGCTGAATTCCGCGCTTGCGGCAGCGATCTTTATAGAGCTTTGTATGATCCTTATGCCTGAATAGCACGCTGTCAGGTATATGTGGAAAATATAACAGATGACTTACCTCCGAATATGAGCACGAAGGGAAGTGACACTGCCCTTCAAAAAACTAAACTTGTGGGCAACCCCATTTGCCCTGAAAAGCGAAAGTTATCAAAGGCAAAGCAGCACAAAATGTCCCAAACTTACTTGCAAACCTCACACCAGTGCCCATCCTCTTCCTTGCCAGTATCGGGGTTGATAGCTTTCGCTTCGCGGGTGAAAATGGTCCGAATATCTGCCGTCAAGTCACTTTTATGTCGTTTGGCACCCTGCACAGAGAAATCAATTTGTTAGAAGGCACAAACTTGAAAGATTCACTTACCTCACGGTCCACGTCACCCATCTCTTTGGTTTGCTGGTATGTTGATGGGGGGGCATCATCGACATCTGCATCATTGGTATGTGTGTCCTCATCATCGTCCCATTCAGGGACTTAGGCCACTGCATCCTCGTTGGACTCGTCCTCGCTCTCGCTAACGACCACTTGATGGGTAGCCTTGCATTTGCCCAAAACAGCGTTATTGGGGTCAGTAAGTTTGGACACAAGGCGTGGAACACGTGCAGAGCGACGTGATCCTGTGACGATGACAGCAGGGGATGGCAAAGACGTGCGAGAAGTACTGGGCAGCAGGGTGTCGTTATCCGGATCGTGAAACCAGGTAATATCCTTGGCATCGAGGAGAGTACCATTAGCACTTACAGCACACTGGTCATTCAGCAGCATATTGAGAACACAATGTTAGCAAATTCATGTTGAAATGCTCACTTTTAAGTCTGCGTGGTGTGTGCCAAATGGTGCCTGGCTCGATCGTTGAGTGCTCCAGAGTCTACATGGAGCTTCGACTGTCGAGTGATTAGTAGAAATGGATACAAAACCTGCACTACAGAGTACCTGTAAATCTGAACTCCTGATGCGATCAGAGTTCTTCACAACACGAGATTGCTTGAAAGATTTCCGACGTCGAATTGTGCCAGTGTGGTGGTAACAAAATGAGTTGATCGATCCGACAAGCTGACACGATGTTGCTGAGCTATAATTAGGTCACGCTCTGTTAGTGTTACTAACAGTAATCTTACTGCATCAAAATGTATGCTCCCGTTCAGCGTTCGGACACGTTCGGATGCGTTCAAGACAGTTCTCGAGCTATCGAACAGAGAACCGAACCCTCAGTTCGGTTCTCCATGGCCCTTGAACGTTGGACTGAACCGCAGTCTGGTTCACCAAAAGTCCGGTTCGAACCGCGGTCCAGGACTGAACCTTTCCATCACTATAGGAAGCACGAGTAGCGCATGCACGATAGTATTAATCAGATAATAATCAGACTTGTTTCCTATTCTAATCAGAAGTAAACTCGACGTGCAAATCCCTAAATTCTGATGCCAGATTAGACTGTATTGCGCTTATGGAGAGCCCGCAAATCCATTGTTTCCGGTGTTGAGTTTGTGTGCCACAAATGTACCTTTCCTGACCCTAACATCTGGAGAAACATCTATTTTCATACATTGTGTTACTATCCTATTATAGGTTCTATTCCTTCTCTAATCTGGCCCGATTATTTTCTCGTTTCTGCAGTGATTGTAAGCTATTGCAAGGCCATTGCAATAGGATTGCAACCGCATTTCTACGGCAATTTCAACGACGACTCTATTATAAAGACCCATTTCAAACCCCACACGGTGACCTAGCTAGTGCAGCTTCTGGGCTTTGACGAGGAAGCCAGAAATGTAGTAGATGCATACCACGCAAGTACTTATTTCTCTTCCTCCTTGACCGATAGTAGTCTCCATCTTACCGCATTCTCCAATGTTCGAAATCCCTGGTTTGTCGCTTGCATCCATTCTTTCTCTCACCAGGGGCCCGCTATCCCAACCCACTGTTTGCCCTGATTGGCATACCGCTGATACATAGCAAACCAATCAACTTTCAAGTAATTCAACAGCCTGCAAGTCGAGATTTCTCGCTAAGGAGTGATCAAACAGTGGACGAACTGCGGTGGTGTTGATGTTCAACAGCCCAATGACTGTTGACTGGCTTCACGACACCCGCGCTACCATCAACGAACCTGGAGACGGAACCAGATGACGATTGCCTTGGAAAATCGGGTACATATCATAGTCTTGGATGTTTGTGTCCACTGATAGTAGAACCCAGGGCGTAGTCTACAAGGTTTGGTCAGAATCTATATCTGAATGCTGGTCACCGATCACAGTGCTAACCTTCTACAGCTCGTGCTCGCACTCATCATATTTCCACTTGAAAACCACCGTCCTTGTCGGTGCTGTCTGACATCGCTAGCGCATCCTTTCCTAGACGCGAGCATGACTGCGCTGTTTGGCCCAGGTGATGATGCCTGCACAACGCTCGTACATATGTGGCTTGATGTGATGTATAATATGAAGTAAGTTCCAGAGAGGCTGCGCAGAGTATATGGTTCAAATTTGAAAGATGGATTAAAGGCGCAGCTGAAGAGCAACGGACTGGTGCTGAATCACCTTCCAGAGGTATGTTGAGTATCTGATGCTTGGATTACCTGTATCTGATATCTATATAAATACATTTCTAATGTAGCAGGAATAAGTCCCTGGATTTAATCCATTGCATTTTGCATGGCTTTCATCGGAGTCGCACTGCCCTTACCGTATTTTTCACTATCACCCAGTCAAGAGAAGAGCGAGGGGATGCACATAAGGCTACCAAACTCGAGGTCTTGGAAGGAGGAAAATGGCACATTGGATTGAGCGTCAAGGGGCATATGTTGGAAGGTCTGACGCCATGCTAACAGAATGTACCATCTGGACATCTGGGACAAGGGGCTTCCAAGGGTTCGTCGTAAGTATTACCGTCGATGTTTTATGAACGAGCCTGTACTATTCAAAGAACAAGTTGGTCTTCCTGATTGTCCATGGAGCCTTGCACAGGCACATAGAAATCTTCTTTTCTCCCATGTGCCCTGGCCCCTGATTTCTGTTGTCATCTAGGGATTGCATCGCATATATACCACACAACCCTCGATGCTGAATCCACTGCCGCCTTTCACATCGTATGTCCTTGGTCCAGGGATTGATTGTCATCTGGCTTCTTGCAACATTACAAAACGCGCAGTTGATGTAGGGGTGGTCCATCGATTTTCACAGCCTAATACATCCTGAGTCATAGTCTTTAATTGATATCAGGATAGCACAGGCGAGTGTTCTATTAGAATGCAACATTGTCGAGGTTAAGAGACCTTCGATGAGCTATTATGCTTCACGAGCTGGGCAAGCGAGACAGAGGCACCGCTGGTTATCATTGAAATTCAAACTGCGGGCTTGTTCGATGATTGAATCATGCATAGGCCTGTGTTAGATCGATGACCTCCACAATGTAACACCCTGTGTACTTGACGTCATGCGGCAATTATTAAGCACTGTAGTCAGACTCCTACATGGTAACGTAAAAGTTGGACCTAGAACTGATCCCAACAACAAGTAGTTCACAGACACATCGCCTGATGCATGGACCCCATGACCGGTCGGCCTGATAGTATTCATTTCAATCTACTTCAGAACACCAAATAACTAGTTCACATAAGTACCACGACGAAACTGGGGACATGGCACAATTCTCCTGCTCCATGCAGAGCAACCCTACGAGTTACATCGAGCATTTCCCGTGCTACACACTACTGCTAGTTGACACATGCTCACGCTCCTGGAAGGCAATTGAAGTCATGGCAGTTGCTGCGTCTGAGTCGTCCATGAGCTCAGCGTGATATTCTCGAACAACAAGGATGAGACGTGGTCCCAGCACAAACAAATGCACAACCATGAATATTTGACGAAACCCAGCATAAATCTGGACTTCCAGGGAATATAGGTCCTATAAAAATGGTGAACTGCGCTCGCATGCAGAGGTCAGTGACATATTGGCATACCGCTGGCATCGTCGACATCTCATAACTGAGCTCGAAGCAAGAAACAGCAACAAAGCTAGCACGTTCTGAACGTCAGCAGTAGAAGAGAATGTCATTCATATTATGAACTCACCTCACAAAGTAGCCCACATGAGATTTCATCAACACCGTGAAACAGTCTTCGAGAATCCCTCCTGTCAATTGTCGTCGCAGTTCTTGGAAGTGTTTTACAGCAATCCAGACAGCGAGACACAGTGCGAAGACCTCCCATACAGTGCCCAGTATCCAAGTCATGGACGACAGACGCATGGTATCTGACTCAAAGTTAACAATGCACTGATAGGTGCCGGAGAGAATGAGCTCCTCTGATATTCAATGAGCCTCATGCATTGAAGTCTTTCAATCGAAGCTTACCCCCCGAAATGGTATGGTTCGTTATTATTGCGCTGATCGCTATGTTCGCGATATTGACAAGAAGGAAGACGACACCAAGAAGTATCAGGATCTTTCTGGATCACTGGTACATGGCATGTAACCGAACGATCATGATGACTTGTCTTGGTCAAGTCCGTATCATTGAGGTATTACAGCTGGTTCGCTCACCGTCCAGTATTACAGTTATGGTGTTATTCGTCCAATTTTTTATGAGGTACACGATAAGGCCTAACAATTACAAGTCCAGTTAGTGATCAGTCACAGCCTCGCCGGAGGATCACACTCGAAACGAACTCACATCTATGGTAGTGAATATATTGGATAAACAAGCTGGTCGAGAATCTCACTCACCCCTACATGGGAGTGCAGTTGATTAGACAGGAATGGCAGGTATTAGTGCAGAATACTCACTACATCTGTGACTGTGATCGTTGGAACACTGGCTGTATGCCGCCAGTCAGAAAAAACAAACATGGTGAATATGAGACATACACAGCATCTGGGTCCTGATTGTGAGAGATGACTGATTAGCACAACACCAATTGCTTATTTCTCTGAACATACACGATCCATAACATTCCAAGATAGTGCGCCTGGGATGCTTTTGAATCAACATGACTTGCCAATCATTTTTGTATCGCAAGCTACATACACTGATATAGAGAAAAGTCACGAGGGACCAGCGTCGCTTCTGTCGCCAATTATTCGAAGTTAATGTTGTTGTTTTGACGTGGGACTGTGCTCACCCAGATCAGTTCGACCTGTAAAACCTGTCTCAGCGATATGGCTGCTCCGGTAATGGCATCAGCCTACCTCTTTCCCGAATGTCAATGCTGGAAATACTACCATAGGGATATCAGCGGTTCCTGGATACTTATCTTGCTTACCCCAATCATACATCCCCCCAGCAAAGGCTGCAACTGCGAAATGCAGCCAAGGTTAGAACAACACATCACCATCATCATCCGACAGGCTCCACGTACCTACAAAATAGCTGGAAATCCTACTCGCATTGATGAATGGCCACCAACTGGGATCATTTGAGACTAGAGGCATATTGTCGGAGGATGGGTATGAGGAAGCAGCGAACTTGGTCGACGTACGGTGATGACATTCGTCCTGGATATACCAAAATCCAGTGTTCCTGTTGCCGAAGTGAGCATCGTGAGATCTGCTGGGCGTAAAGGCGGGAGAGAAACTAACCTAGAGAGCGAATGTCTGAGGGGTGCGCATGCACAATTAGTAATTTTCACTGACAACTTGAAAGACAGCGAGATGTTGGATTGATTATCGAATACCGACAAACCAAAATAGTAAACGCATCTGATACAACAGCACTGCACTCGACATTGCATTGCGCAGTCGATGCATCGCTTATCGCAGCCTCGTACATCCTGATTGATAATGTGTCATTGATATCTGATGAAATTACAAGTTAACGCCCGGGACATGTCAGCAAAGGAAGGCTCTGTACGGCTTCATGACTGAACAAGGAAAGTCGACTATTTGTTCTTCGACATGTGCGGATAAAACATTGATGGTGATATTGTTGATGAGCCTCGGAAGTGTCACCTCCAAGGTCTCTCTGAATAACATGTCTGTGATATTCTCTTGAGTCTTGACAGAGATGAACAATACGATGTGAAGGTTGTGAAATTCCAGCATCGAATCCTAAAGTAGCAGCGCTGATCAGACCTCGAGCTCCGAGGATCATCCAAGGCTCTGCCACATCCACGAAGTTTACATAATAACGTCGTAGCGAGCACTGAAAAGCTGAGCCATTTCTAGTGCAGTATAAATGAGCAAACGACCTGGGCTCAATATGGACAGGGAATGCAATCCGCTGGCCCGACAGCGCAGTCCAGTCTCTCACCAGCAAAATTTTCTCCTCCTGCAAGCTCCCCTCATCCAAACCCGCAGCCTTCCACACGTGTCCCTCAAGTTGCGCACATGGCAGCACATACTATCACTCCTGGGAATCTGCAACTGGCATGTAATATGCAAAATGTTCAAAACACCTCAATGCGCTGCTTGAATCACCTCGAAAAAATTCATGTGTATGTAGGCTACTTCAAGATGGTGTACTGTCCAAGTAGAATAATTTTTTCTTGAGTGTTGCAGCTGCGAGAGACAGAATAGTGGTGATTTGCAACCTTGTATGATCATAAATGATCCAGATCCCATAGATCCTAGAGAGATATTCAAAAAGTTACACCCAGAGCATATCAAACACCTCGTCAGGGTGTCAGAACACAATTTCAATATAGGCCATTCTCTTGTTTTAAGATGCTATAGACAGAGGATTGACGACATGTATGAAAGCGTGACAGCAGATAGGAGAGTGTGTAAGAAATTCAATCTCCTCCAAGTGAAAGCTGCTACTGTGCACCTGGGTTTCCCAATAGGTAAGCCTTATAAGGCTGGATGATTACGTGTCTCACCCGGCCTTATCTGGCTTAACAGCGACGTTTCCTTAACACCAGCAATAAATGTTGCCCCAAATCATGGGGGTACTTAGAGTATTCTACGCCCGCCTACACTGCTGCTGGTACCTTACCGTCGGCAACGCCCGCTATGTCGGGCCCGTTGTTAGTAATACCAAGTGCCCTTTACCTCCCGACATCTATGGCAGGTTCCCACGCACTTCTCCTCCTGCCACCAACATGTATGGCGTCATCCAGCTGCTCCCGCCCTTTGTCTACCTCCCTGCCTACTACACCCACGGCCCCTGGCTGCCAGGTGGCCTGCACGCATCTCCACTATGCAGCACAGGCACGTGCCATCGTCTGCGCCCACCCTCTGCTGATCTACGACGCCCTCCAGCTCCAGCCTGCCCACACCTAACGCTCCTCCGGCTTGCAGCTGATGCCCACCGTACAGCGCAGGTGCCTACAATCGCCCATGTCCAGTCCCAACCTTGTGTTTACCACGTGCCCTTCTTCCTTCCTCGTGGCCTCAGCGTGGCGGCTGATTCTTAAGCCTGCAGACTCTCCACTGTCATCCACCACATTCTCTCGTGCAACATTGCTTCGACTCTCTGCCCAGTTAGCGGGTTTTTTAACATCCGTGAGTAGTTGTTTGCCTACAGTGTTTTCTGGCGCTCAAGCTATGTAATGGACTGTACGGTCTTCAGTCCTCGATGTCTCGTTCGCAGTCTGCAAAAATTAGCGGTCTTTCCAAATCAACCATCACCCATAATTTCAGACGCAGCCATCGCACATCTCAGGTCCTCTCTGCCGGTGGTGAAAAAAATCGCATGAATACTGCTGATGCTAAGCGTCAATCTGCGCTACAGGGTACGTCTGCATCAATTTTCCTTCAATTAAATATCATGTGGTCCTTCAGAACTACCGGCTATTGATCGTGAAAATGTTGAGAACATGATCATAGATCATGGTATCATGACTGATAACCTCGTATATGAGCCTGCCCCAGGTGATGAAGGCCTTGACCTTAGCCACGAAGGTGGAGAATATGAAGCATTTGAAGGGCTGTCTCGCACAATGGCAGACTTGTCAGGATTGTAGGTCGACATTTCTTTTCATCTATTCACGCTTATTATTGTACTGTCAGCCACTACGTGGACCCCAGAACTCGACGTGATCGCGTTGAGCTCCATACCAATGAGTGGGACATCCAAATGGACCGGCTAGTTGATGCTTATCAAGATTATCGGTCCTGCGATTCTGGGGATGGCATGCCTCTGTTGGTGCCTGCGGGACCTGACAACATTCCTCTCGATGATTTCTGTCCTGGGCTCAGCAACATTGAGCTTGTTGATACCTTTTGTACGTGCTTGCTATTGCGGTCACTTATACGCACTCAATTTTGAATTGTAGTTCGACGCCGAGCATCTTTCGAAAGCTTGCCATACCATAAGTACCCAAATGAGACCCTTATTTACAATGGCTTTCTTGGGTGTTCCCCTTTGTATCCCAACGTTGCCATCACCTTGCATACTCTCGCAGCCTACCGGCAGGCTCACCGAAGTTGCCCTCAGTTCAGCCTTCAAGCACATTGCAAAATGCTGTGCTACCTGCATAATGTAAGTTGTTGTTTTGCTTAATTTATTTGTTGATTGTACTCACTGCTTTTCAGATGCCGTATCGACCCTATCTGCGCTCTCAATTCTCGGCAGCTTACGACGCATACCTGGAAATCCTCTACCGCGTCGATCAATTGCTAAAGCGGGAACTCAAACACGACACTCCAAATTGGCGGCTCCTAAATGCCTGCCCACCATGTACCTACAAATTAGTGGACGAACCGGCACTCGATTTTGATTGGTTTGCCACCATCGACGGCAACAACAGTCTCAAGCGGTGGGGGTCTTCAATCCATAATTCTATCACTCGCGATGACCGTCGGAGGCCGAGGACCGACTACTGGATTAGTCGCAACATTGTGGACAAGTTCAAAGATGAGGTCAAGTTGAGAACTGTAGGTCGTCTTTGCCTGCTAGTAGTATACAAAATAATGTCTAACTAGGCGCTGGATAACAATAACAATCCTGATGACTGGGAGGACGACGGAGAAGTGCCTGGCGAGATTCCTTTCAACTGTACAGCCCATTGGCGGAACGCTGGACCCGAGCAACGCAAGAAAATGTTTGCTGTGTTTGAAGAATCCGGAGTTTTTGTTGGCGCATGCCGTCACCGGTTCGTCTTGGTAGTCTGTGATATGATTCAAAGTGGCGAACTGTAAGCTCCGAAGCCCACAGTGCATACAGGAACTAACTACCATTTCATTTGTCTAGAGCGAAGTATGCGCTTGCCACGGTTGATCACCTCATGACCGTATACGGGAAAAATGGAGCCTGCGCCTATGATATTGGCTGTGCATTTTCCAAGACATTGAGCACGAGCTCCTTGGGTCCGTGTGCACAATCGCTTGCCTTATGCATGATGGTCGGTGCATTCCATGGACATGCACACAACTGCAAGTGTCAACTCGACTGGCATCCAATGTTCATAACTGGGACTGGCCACACTGAAGGTGAAGGCTGCGAGCACGTCTTTTTGTCATCAAACAAGCTCGCACAGAGTACACGTCATGCCAGTGCTTTCCATCGGCATCAATCGATCGAAGAACACTTCACGTTCTGGGACGCTGACAAATATGCCGCCCTCGGTAAACTTTTTTTTTCATTTGTGAGATTGTATTTTCATTCTAACTCTACTAGGTAACTTTTTGCACCACCACTACCGAGAAGCGACTCACGTCATTCAAACCTTGGAAGCTGAGCTCTCTGTCATCAAATCCGAGTTAAACCTCAATGATGAAGACTTTGTGAAGTTTTATAACGACGAAAAATTATATCTCGACGCACTGAAGCAGCCGCCAATCCGAGACTGCCTCTGTATTTGATACATTGAGGTCCTTGATGACTTGGAAATACGCCGGTAAGCACTGCCTTATGGATTTCTCCTTTGCTAAATATATTTAAATTAAAGGGAAGAATGGAATGCTGCTCGATCCGCGGCCAATAACGCGCTCACGACTGTCGGAGCTGGTGATTTTGCAGAGATCAACGCTGCCCTTATGCAAGCTCGAATTCGGGTGGACACCGCTTACGCCAAGATACAGAATGCGGAAGCTTTGGTGGCCCACATGGAAATTCAACTCAGTATTGAGGAATGCTGGGCCGTTGGGAGTGCCGACTATCTGCAATTCAAAGAAGAAGCTACATTGGGAAAGTATCGTGCAGCGCTCAATGAGCTAGAACGCCTCATGGTCATGAGGCTTTTCGAGCTCTCAAAGCTCTCATTGTCCGGCACAGGTAGCACACATCTCACTTATTTTTTCTGAAGTTCATGGTCTTTTTAGGTTATAAACTGCGCCAGCAAATCGGAAAAGCGCTGCAGCGCCGTTCAGAGGCAATCCGTAATGCAATCAACCGTTATAATACGCAGGCTGCTGCGCTTAACCCACCACGTCTGAAATTGTCTTGGAAAGACATAGAGGAGTATAGCTTTTTGGGGGAATTTGACTTACTGCGCTATTCGCGCACAGACATTCGAGAAGCGGACTGGACGAAACCTGCTTACCGCGAAGCCACCACAAAGCATTTCAAGTTGCTGCATGCACGAGAAGAGGTGTCCCATCTCAACATAGAAATCCATCGCTTATGCACCTTTATTCATGACGAGGAAACTGATACATCAAAAGTCATTGAAGACCTCCAATCATCCAACCCACTCCTTGCATCTGAGCTGCGACGACAATGGCGAAGCCGCTCAGCAATCAACATGCTTCACATCTTCCAGCTCAATCAGATCGAGGCCATTCCAGGATTCTCGGGTGTGCGTGGCATCGGTGCTCATTCATGCGCACCAGGATCAGATATTAATGAGATTATCACTTCTGAGTTTGTGGATGCAGATGCCTCCCGACAGGAAGAGCATGCCGAAGAGTTGGAAGGCATTGCTAGCTTTCTTGATTCTATTGTAGACTGAGGACACAGGAGGGGGTTCCGCTACTTTGGACATGTTCTTTGCGCTTTATCGACGATCTGTGTCCTAATTCTATAGAGTGCCCGCTACTCTGGACATGTTCTTTGCGCTTTACCAATGTTCTGCGTCCTAATTCTAGTGTCAATCATATGTATCCGCTACTTTAGACATGTTCTTTGCGCTTTATCAATGTTCTATGTCCTAATTCTAGAGATAATCATGAGTGTCCGCTACTCTGGACATGTTCTTTGCGCTTTATCGATGTTCTGCATCCTAATTCTAAAGACAATATTGATATGTATACAGTATTGTATCTTTGAGCATGGCTGTGGTGGGACTCCTGTGTATCGTGAACAACCCATGGTCCAATACTAACAGATCTGCTATCTCTTAACATATACCCTTCTACATATCATCTGCTTATTACTTCAGATCTAGATGGGAGCAGGTTATTCAATCACTGTCAAAGTTCTAAGTGGTGAATTGCCTATGGTTAGATGAGTGCTCTTTCATTATCATTTTACAAGCGCTAATCTTCGGCGCAACTCTTAAACTTCCTCGCTTCGACCTTTTTCCAATGCAAACAACTCTTTTGCACCCCTCCGGCCCAAACCTCATGTCACCCAGTGGGATATCCAAAGCTGCAACAGCTGTGAAACCGTCCACTGCCCCGCCTTTTTCGATACATAACATTGGAGCACTTTACTGTTCTGGTTTTGCAGAAGGATTCAGTAATTCTGAGCGGCAAGCTGCAGCTCGTGCTTTGCTTCGGCATGACGCTCATCTCGATGGAACACACTATCAGACCAGGAGACCCAACGGACTTCATCCCTCGTATGTTGTGTTCAACTCATTCGTCAAAACAAAGGAACGTTCCATCTCTTGCGACGAGTTTGTTGAAGCGTCGTTACAGGATCTGTTTGACTCAGTGAGTGTTCATTTCATTTTCATATAGATTGAACGTGAACCCTGCCAGATTACAATACAAGACCGCCTCGATGGCAGTATCTCGCTTCTCCTTCGCTGCCCGGGTTTCAAGGCAGAGACTGCACTATCTCCTGAGGACATTACAGTTGACCTGTATGTCACTCCACGGGAGGCACGCGAGAGCTCTGAACGGATTGGGGGTGATATCGCAGTCTTGACTCAAGCTTTTTGTGAAGAATTCGTCATTCCACACATGGAACACTTCATGAAACGCTGTCACATTGAAGAAGTTGAGCCGCCCCATCATTGTAGGCCGTCCTCAGTATTTTTTGTTCAATCATATAACTTTTTCGTTTCAGACTCTTCAGCGCAGATCAGTCTCAAAGGACCACCATACCTTCCAGGACCGGTGGTGGCTACTAGTGTACAGATCCAGTGCTCTGGCCGCCCAATAGCGTCCTTCCAGAGGGAGCTCTCCTCTGCATCCAAGACTCAGTCAGCGTCAGTTTCGGCTGCCATTTGTACAGGTGCCGCTCAAGCCCTTGCGACTAGTGAAGCTCCCAGTCCTCGTACTCAAGTCACAGGTGCCGCTCAAGCCCTTGCGACTAGTGAAGCTCCCAGTCCTCGTACTCAAGTCCGTCGCCATCGCCCTGCAGACGCATTCCTCATTAAGAAGAAGGCTGATGTGGCACTGGAACCAACATTATATCAAGTTCAGGTCGCTGAAACAGCCAAGGCCCTTAATTCGGGTCCGCCACTAATGAGTATTGGAGCCCACACTGATGCTATCATTGATCGCTTCAAGCTGGGGGATGAAATTATTCCATCGCTACGCCACTTAATTTCCACCGTGCGTAGTAGCCGCTGGGAGGAAAATTTGAGGTCTCCGAAATGGAAGCTCGACTTTGAGCAGGCGTCTAAACTAACTGGGGCACTTCAGGCAGATCTCCAGGTTGCTACTCCGGTCATTCTCAGGGTAAGCAAAGTTTTGAATATTTCACAAGTTTTGAATTAATTTCCAAGGACAGAACCCTTCCTCCGTTTGGAAGGTATTCAGGATCGTGGTGCTACTCATTATCATGCTGGCCGCTTTTTGCGCATTTTATCTTTTCTACCTTGTTTTCATCATGTAAATTCTTTGATTGTTGCCGATGTTAGCGCACGAGCTCGTTATGGCACCGCCTACCACTCAATCTAGTACATATTGTGTTTCCACCGAATATTTACAATAATCCGGTGTGATTTCGCTATCCTTGTCTTATAAAGAGGTGCTAATTTGCATCTCTCGTTTCCTAGGCTGTCATGATTGTCCGTTCTACACCACGAGAGCCCTCAAGGCGCAGTCAGGGACTTGCTCGAAACTGCGCCAAGATACGCCTTAGCAAAGAGGCACGCGCCGAAATTACGCAACGACGGCGTGAAGCTCGCAGTCGCTTCAAGCAAGCTCTTGATGATGCATGGCAAGCTGTGGATGACACTGCAGTCAAGATCGCTGCAGACCACAAAAAGAGTATCCGTCGAGTGCAGAACGATTTGCATATGGGACAATCACTCCTGCAATCTAAGCACTCGAAGGTGAGCGCCTGGAACGCCTTCATTTGGAAGAAGCGCCAAGATGGCGACAAAGAGAACGGTAAGCCCCCCTTCTGCATTTGGCATATTTAATTAATCAATTAAAATTTCCCTCAAGGTGCAAGCAGCAAAGATGTGCTTGAAGGCATTGTGAAGGACTACAAAGATGAGTACTATAGCCTCACCAATGAGGAGAAGTCAAGTCTCATCGCAGAGTACAAGGAACACAAGGTTACGAAGACCACTGGTCATCGCATCTCCACGAAGTCCAAGATAAATGATGTCACCTGGTCTCTGAAAGCTGTCGAGAATGAGGTAGTTCCGCCATTCATATGTTGGATCTTATAGCTGCTAAACCCTCCCCCTTTTACTAGCTCGATAACTTGCGCTCTCGTACTGGAGTGGAGACCATCTTGTACATGACCCGGGGGACAACAGATCTTCCCCTGCGTGGTGTTACGTTTGCAACTGAGGGCGTGCACGATTTCATGGAGTCTGTTATAGGCATAGATAATCAAGACTTCGTCAGCAAGATGGAAGGATTTGCTATACAGGGCATGAAAGGTTCGTGTCTCCTTCCATTGTTGCTGGTGACTACTACTAACTAATCATACTTGTGTCTAGGCGCAGCGGAGAACCACCAGCAGCGCGTGGCTAAAATCCATGGCCAAATCCGCTCAGAAATCAATGTAGCTCTGCGTAAGTACTAGTCCTATTTTTCCCATTTGTCTCTGTTAATGACAATCTGTAGAGAAAGTTACCGGAAACCCCAAAGCCACAATGCAATGGACACACTTTTTCCGCAACATTGTGAAGCATTACTCGGTTGTCGTCGAGGGCTGGCCAGAGCAAATCCCATTCATCAACCTCAGCACTGCCTCAAGCTCCCTCACTGACCTCGAGATACTTCTGTGGAAGTGGCACTCGGGGCTCATTAGCTGGAAGCGCATCACACCAGAACAGCTCGAGGACATGGAGAAAGATAGGGACAAGGACCTTGAAAACGGCACTATTGTGGAGAAGCGCCGGCGTGTTCGCTCTGACAAGGGCAAGAAGAGATGCCGTGATTCTGACGACAACGCTCAGCGTCGTAAGAAGATGCACAAGAGTGCTGAAACCATTCCGAGTGATAGCGAGGAAGATGCCACCGATGCCCCGCCGTCTATCCCCATCGACAACAACAGCAATCTGCATTCAACTTCGCTCGTCCCCAATGCCCCACTGTCTATCCCTATCGACAACAGCCTGTGTTCGACTTCGCTCATCCCCAATGCCCCACCGTCTATCTCCATTGACAACAGCCTGCATTCGACTTCGACTTTGCTCATCCCCAATGCCCCACCGTCTATCCCTATCGACAACAATGTTCCGCCCGTGCCTCCTACCCCACTCCTCACTCCCAACACCAAATCTGTGTCCCCATTTTTGCTCCCTGATCACGATGTGGATATTAGCATGCTAGAATTCCCTGAAGGTTTTGTCGAGTTCTTAGCACAATTTGATGTGTCCGTTCCAATTCCTTAAATCAGCGATGGACTTCCGAGTGGAGTAGACTATTCTGCCGGATTAAAATGTTCCCTTCACATACACTTTTTGTTAGTTGACCTTGCCTTACACTCATGTCAGCCTTTACTTCCAAAGCTCGTTGATTTTCAAGTTTAATACAGTATACAGAACAAATAAGTGGTATATAGTTTGTCCTTTGAATGACAGCGCTGTCCCAGTTCTACAATGCATCGTCATGCACAGAGCGCACCTCGTAATGACGGCCCCATCCCAGAAGGCATTGTAATCTACAGAGTGCACGAGTTCAATTGTGCTAGACGACAGTGGAGAGTCTGTGGAGGTGTGGGCAGCTTGGAAGGTGGGCAAAGGGAAAGGCTGGAGCTGGAGGGCGTCATAGATCAGCAGAGGGTGGGCACAGACGACGGCACGTGTCTGTGGGCATCAGCTGCGAGCCGGAGGAGCGCTAGGTGTGGGCAGGCTGGAGCTGGAGGGCATCGTAGATCAGCAGAGGGTGGGCGCAGACAACGGCACGTGCCTGTGCTGCATAGTGGAGATGCGTGCAGGCCACCTGGCAGCCAGGGGCCGTGGGTGTAGTAGGCAGGGAGGTAGACAAAGGGCGGGAGCGGTTGGATGACGCCATACATGTTGGTGGCAGGAGGAGAAGTGCGTGGGAACCTGCCATAGATGTCGGGAGGTAAAGGGCACTTGGTATTACTAACAACGGGCCCGACATAGCGGGCGTTGCCGACGGTAAGGTACCAGCAGCAGTGTAGGCGGGCGTAGAATACTCTAAGTACCCCCATGATTTGGGGCAACATTTATTGCTGGTGTTAAGGAAACGTCGCTGTTAAGCCAGATAAGGCCGGGTGAGACACGTAATCATCCAGCCTTATAAGGCTTACCTATTGGGAAACCCAGGTGCTACTGTGCCAATGTGTGACACGATGTGACCATGTTTTGCAGAATACCAGTCAGACCCTGAATTTTCTCGGCCTTCATCCGACACTCCACCACAAAATCCTTAAAATCAGCAAAAATCAGATTCATATAGAGCAGCTACAAATCTATAATGGTGCAAATCCATAGAAGAAAATATGATGTGGTTGAGGAGTTACAAAAGATTTATTGAAAATGTTGCAGAACCCCAGGAGTGATTTTGTAACTCCTCAACCACATCATATTTCCTTCTACGGATTTGCACCATTATAGATTCGTAGCTGCTCTATATGAATCTGATTTTAAGGATTTTGTGGTGGAGTGTCGGATGAAGGCCGAGAAAATTCAGGGTCTGACTGGTATTCTGCAAAACATGGTCACGTCATGTCACACATCGGCACAGTAGCGGCTTTCACTTGGAGGAGATTGAATTTCTTACACACTCTCCTATCTGCTGTCACGCTTTCATACATGTCGTCAATCCTCTGTCTATAGCATCTTAAAACAAGAGAATGGCCTCTATTGAAATTGTGTTCTGACACCCTGACGAGGTGTTTGATATGCTCTGGGTGTAACTTTTTGAATATCTCTCTAGGATCTATGGGATCTGGATCATTTATGATCATACAAAGTTGCAAATCACCACTATTCTGTCTCTCGCAGCTGCAACACTCAAGAAAAAATTATTCTACTTGGACAGTACACCATCTCTAAGTAGCCTACATACACATGAATTTTTTCGAGGTGATTCAAGCAGCGCATTGAGGTGTTTTGAACATTTTGCATATTACATGCCAGTTGCAGATTCCCAGGAGTGATAGTAGTACTTATTTGCCTGCAGTCGCTCATAAAATGCAGAAGACGGCAGACCTTACGTGTTCTCTCGCAATCAGCATGTCAATGATATGTATGGCTTCTCACATTCACTGCCATTCGTCCTTCTTACCGGCGGCATACAGGCAGTGTTCTGATGATCTTGGCAATAGATGCGGTAAGTATTCTACACAGATGCCTACCATTACAGTCTAATCAACACCACTCCCATGTAGGGATGAGTGAAATTCTCGATCAGCCTTCAACATAATGGCTGTCGCAGTAGCTGGACGACGAAGGACAATAAATATTTTATGGTCTGGGGCTCGTGATGTGTCATGGCTCGGTGCTGTCTCTCGGTCCGGCTCTGTTTCTGGGCTAGTCTTTGCCTGTGGGCTCGGCTCAGACTCTTCATTTCCGAGAGCAAAGTCAGGAGCGCCGTGCTCTCTGGAATATGTCGCATCATCGAACGGAAACGGGATTCAGCAAGTAGAAAGTGGGCTGGTGTGTTATGTTGTACCTCAGGGAGGCTGGAGTTCGAAGGGTCAGCAACGTAGTCACGAACAGACGAGTGGTGGATGTTTACAGGGAGACTGCTGTTGGTAGGAATGTCCATGACAGACCGTAGCTGAACCAGTACTGTTTCGACATCCCTGCCTTCACTTAGGCCAAGAAGTTCCGAGATTTCTGAGATAGGGAGAGGGTCTGCAAGGGCAGCAACAACGAACAAGTGTCGATACGCCTGTGCTGGTTCGGTACATGTGGTGAGGATATGGTCGTATAACGTGTACACCTCAGTGCCTGGGAGCAGCTCGGTTGTGAACTCGAGCATGAACTGAAGTCGATCGCGAGGGTCATGATATCTGTCATTGATAAACTCCATCATCATAGACGCGACGATGAAACGTCTCCCTGCTCGACTCGCCAGCCGCGCAAGTTCATCCCTCGTTGGCTGCGGGAAAATGGGATATCGACCTTACAGCTTTCTGAAGGAATGCTCCAGGAAGATATAGATGTTGTTGTCCACGTCTGTGCCGTCTAACAATATGATCGCAGCAACACCCTTCCCAGTGATTTTCACTGGTATCTCGCACACCAACGGGCGCAACTCTTCTTGTTGAATAGCGTCACGGATGGGCTCTTCCAAACGGCTTGTGAGCAGGATGTGGATAACGGGTAGATCAGGTTCACGAAAAGCTCGGCCTAGGAGGGAGACGAGATCGGCAACCTTGGCTTCGGATATGCACTTGTCAAGAGCATCAACAATGAACGCCAAAGGCGGACATTCGTGCAATCTGGATCGAAGCTTCCGCAGAGGTCTCAGCCTGTCCCAAGCTCCTTCGAATCATTAGAAACTGTGAATACAAGTCAGCAAGCGAGAGAGGGAATAACACATTGGGGTCTGACATTGATCGTAACTCATCGACTAATGGTGTCGCAAGCTGTGAGATGGAATGGAAAAACTTGGGGATGCACTGGTTGGGTTGAATAGCATAGTCAGCAATCATATTGTGGGTGTGTCAAGACCCGACGTACCAATATGTGAATCAGGGAAGTTGCAAAAAGCTTAGATCGTGAAATGATTTTTGGCATAATAAGTGTGTTCGTCGGTGATCGGTGCTATGAAAAACTCGATGGATGGTGGTGATATCTGTTGAAGGATAAGTGGGCGCTCGTCTAGTTGCAAGACACAGCCAGGTGGCATGCGGGAGTTCCGTTCAACACGGACATGGATGATTTCGGTTCGTTAGCCATTCTCCCCAGGAGGGCGTAGGTTCCATCAAAAGGGCCATCTCCGCTGTAGGTCAAAGTGCAGATGCTAAGTACTAGCCTGGAGCCGTAGGGGCTACCGGTGGATCAATGCTAGAGGTTGCTCGATGGGGGCTGTCCAGTGCTAGTGTTGATAATGTTGCTCATTCATTCATGTGGTATCACTGGATCCCGATTCTTGCAAGCATCACCCAGCACTTTGTACGAGAGTTGTGTTTTGGCATCTGAGGAAGGAAGCAACTTTCAACGGAGGCAATCGGACTCTGATGACTGGGTTTGAATTTGGGTAGCTTGTCTCATCAGTAGTCTGTAGACCTTCAGTGTGGTCCTTCATTGTAAACTACGCTTGGTGAGCCAGCCGCCTTGTAGGGATAGGAAAAAACCAGAGCGTGTTTTCCCCCACAGACAAGGTGGCTGGTTCACAAAGTTGATAAGTTGTTTTACTATAGACAGGCTTCACTGACAGTTACGCTCTATGAAACGAGGAACAAAAATATGCGAGGCTTGATTCTGTAGAATGTTCACACTCTTAAAAAGTACGGTGTTTTAGAAGTCAAGCTTCAGACCCAGTTCGGACAAGAGCCTCCCAAGTGGGTCATGGACCTCATTCAATCCTACCTCGTCGAAGCTGTTCCCAAGTTCAGGTATGAGTCTCACAAGCAAAGTGTTTCTATTTATACCACTTAAGGACTATCGCTAGTAGATTTATCCATGGTTGCGTTACCTTGCTGCCAAATCGTGTAGATCTTGTGCCATTCTGGCTGCCCCAAAGTGAGTCAGAAGACTTCCATTGCACCTTGCTTACCTTACATTCCCAGTGGACACCGATATCCTTAAGCCCAACGCGGGTTACCTCACTGTCGAGCGCCCCGCAAAGAGCGCTCCCAAGCAACAGTCCAGCTTCCTCTCGCCCGTGCACTCCTATGTTGAGCCCGTCTCAGAGGGCGAAGAAGATGAGGAGATGGATTTGGCACCTGCCAGAGATGAATTTCGGCGCACGGGGTTACCCCACGATGACGTCGCGGTAGCCATCGCATTCCACGAGAAATCTCCCAAGGAACGCGATATGTCTACGCCTCAGTTTAGCGAGGGCAGCGTTCTCGTGAGGAGGTGTGCGATGAGCGGACACCATTGTTGAAGATGCCACGGCCGCCGCTTGTGCCTTCTTCTGCGTTTGATGAGCGCCTGCGTGAGCGTTTTCAGGCGAAGAAGAATGTGCCGCCTCGTGCGCAAGAAGAGGTGTGGGATGATGAGCAATTTTTGGTGAGAGACTGGACCGCACCGCATGGCAAGCGCATTGCAGTTCCTGTTCGTGTAAATCCTAAGGTATGTTTTGCAAAAGAGCCCACGTTCTTGGTAGGACTTTCTTTCATTTGCTGATTGAGTTCGTTCGCTCATCTTTATCGCACAAGAAATGGCTCAGCTTTGCAGTGCTCATTGGATCCATCGCTACGACATTGTTAAATTTCGTAGATGCAGATGATCCGTGAGGCCTGATCAGCGCAGCGCTATTCACTCTAGCTGCACTACTCGCCATCGCATACTCCACCATAATTTTTGTGTATCGAGCCATTCGCCTACGGGCGCGATCGGCGGAAGGGCTGAACTATGTACGGCCCGACTATTCTTTGCTTTGTGTTGTTGGTGGCGCTGGGTACCAATATTGGGTTGAGGGTGGCCAAGATGTGATCGTGATGTGTGGGGATGGGTTGTATTATTGTGTATCGACTTTGAGACTTGACAGTAATAGCTCGTTGGGGTTCATTCGTTTTCGTTCAGGATTGTACATGTCATATGATGCGAGCATGCTGAAGGAGTGATGATGACACCTGATGCGGACACATGATGCATCTGATGGAGGCGCAGAGTTTAATAGAATGCACATGTAGGACAAGTACAGTACTTGTGCGGTTTGATTGTAGGGATAGCGGTACACCGGTACTGCAAAGATTACTCTTGGGAAGGAAAGAGAGAAACCAAAAGAAGAAAAACAAAATCTGGTTTCTGAGAAATTACCGATATATGACTTTTCAAACCTTTTTTCTTCCAGCGTTGATATGTTATGTGTCTTTGGATACGGTAGATATCCAGGCATCAGTGAGGATGGAGACGAAGAAACCCTTGACAACCTACTCACTGTGAATCTTCCTCCCCCCCTACCTGCTCTCTGCTCCTATGACGATGGTGTCCATGCAGAAGAGCCGGTATGCGACGATGGGGATGGCGAGCCTACATTCGAAGACCTCCTGACCAATGAATATGATCTTTCTCGACCTCCAGATCACGATACCGCTGGTGACGAATGTGATGCTGACATGGAGCAACTCGAATCACCCACTGCTCCCCCTCGAGGACAAGGTATTCGCCCCGAAGATTACCTGTGGTGCGAGAAGAAGTGGGTCCATAAGCAGAGCGTCTGTCGTGTCATCATCAACACCGATTTCACACCGAAGTCGCAGATGCGGCTGTTCCGCATCCGTGGATTTACCCAAGTCAACAAGAGATTCAATACCGAAGCAGAGTCTACCATGGCCGGTGATGACTTCATTGTTGGCAACCTCTTTCTGACCCTCATTCGCACTCCCAATGTCGTCTCTCTCGCTCTCGTACGCTCAACCAATATCAGTGACAACGGAACATCTTGTAATTTCATCAAAAGCGAAACTCTATTATCGCAGAAGTCCAACATCAAGCTGTCGGGCGAGATCATGGTCCTTCTTCCTTCATTGTTTGATGCTTCCGAGACCCCTGCATCCCCACCAACATCACCAGTGCTTACTTGGGTCTGGAATGGAGCATACCTCAAGGTGTGGTCTCCAATCCTAGGTACCGAACTCAAGACCGAGCAGGTGGTTACTGTGACCGTCTATGGCCATCTCACCGAACACATCAATCCCCGCATAGTAACAGCCTTGCAGTACCTAAGCGAAGACCAAGCATGCGAGGTCAATTCAAGGGGGCTCTCATGGGCCGTGGATGACGATGCGTTGCAAGTGGCTATCGAGCTACTATGGAAGAAGTTTGTTGACTCAAAGGTTCCTGTTTCATCCCTCGCTGCCCTCAATCATCAATGTGCTGGCTTCCCTCATCAAAAGCTTAATGGTAAGCTCGTCACTTACTACTAGATATACTCATACTGATGTTTTTACTTATCAGGTTCACCGGGGCTAATTTCTACCCTTGGCACGCAATTCATTACTGTTTCGAAGA